ATGGCACATAAACAAGTTAAAGACAATTATAGAGAGAATTGTATGATCTAATACAGGAGGGAAATGGCCCTACATGTACAGATAAAACTTTCTGTGATAAAACTGTGCTAATAAATTCCATTGAACCCATTATTAATTATTCCAACAGGAAGACTACGATCAACTGCGACCTCTGTCATACCCCAACACGGATGTATTCCTGATCTGTTTTTCCGTGGTCAATCCTGCCTCTTACCATAATGTTCAGGAAGAATGGGTATCAGAGCTGAGATCACGCATGCCACATGTACCGTATGTACTCATAGGAACACAGGTAACAGTCAGACTTGTGACTGAACACATGGCTATATCATGTGTTAGGATGAAATATTCTGTTATAACGCCACTAATATTAATACATTGTTATTGTTTATCATATTTGGCATTAGGAAGTTCCCATTAGTTACTGATTAGAGAGGCTGGGGAATCTCAATCAGGATAAGGTTTATTTTTGTACTGTTCTAAAAAGATGTTAAAAAAAATAAAAATCAATAAGACAATTTAAAATCTATTTTTGACCATGAATCCATTTCGGAGGTTCTCTGAAGCCGTATGTTTTTGCTTAAAATACAGGATTGCCTGCAGCATCTTATGTAGAAAATTCAATAGCATGTGTAGGGATTCCAAAAAGATTAATTCGGGTACAAATTATTATTTAATGGAACATTCAACAAGTCTGTTATCACTTGTGACGATTGTTCAGCTAGAAATTGGCATTTGGAATTAGTTGGTACAAAATGATCAATAATGATGTTTGGTCTCCGCACTGAAAGGGACATTGGATGTTTTAGGTTAATCAATTCTTATATATAAATAACCAGGCCGGGTTCAGGTTCGTAACTTATTGGTTATGGTATGGGAGCTACCCATTGGCTTGCTGCCATGGCCTGTGACCTGGATGTATGGTATGGATGAATGTAAGAAAATGCATTAATACTCTACACACAAATATATAAACATACATGAACTGAAAATGCATTTGTCCTACTTGAATTAGTTTTGCACTTTCTTCCTCCCCCCCACCCCCATAAGTACACACACCTATTTTTTTTTTCTTCAATATTTTCTGCTCTGTCTGAATTTGCTTCTAGATTGACCTTCGTGATGATCCCAAAACCTTGGCCCGTCTTCTCCATATGAAGGAGAAACCAATTACTCAGGAACAAGGAATGAAACTGGCAAAAATGGTACGTCTGTCCCATAGGCATCCAGCACAAAAAAAATAAATCTATAGAAATGGCTAAACCAGGACTGTAGTCCATTGGGAAATGTCAGTCCCATCAAAAAAAATCAGGGAGAAGCTCTAACCCATGGACACAATTTAATATTTTTGAATAAGCTTTTCAAATGATTTAATATAAAATATTAAATCAATATTTTTCATAAAGTTTATCAAAATATTACATTGGGGTCTATATTCCTTTCTATTAGCAGAGTCTCAGCTCAGAGCCCTAGATGCCCCACTAATCCTGGGCCAGAAAAATAAGATTAATGTATGTATTTGTAAGGTACTTATAGGCCACGGGAGGAGATACTACAGAAAAAAGGCAACATCATCAGAAAATAACATGTTAACTGACCGCTTCTTTCCAGATTCAGAATGTTTTATATACAGATTTTCTGTGACGTGAGATGTAAGCCTTCATGGTAAACATACCAGTATTGTTGATATATCTCCCCTCCTCTTGCAGATTGGCGCACAGTGCTACTTGGAGTGTTCCGCCCTGACTCAGAAAGGCCTCAAGAACGTTTTCGATGAAGCAATACTCACGGTTTTTAACCCAAAGAAAAAGAAGAGTCGATGCACGAAGTGTCGCCACTCCTGTACAATTGTATGAGACCAACACCGGAGCAGAGTTACTGTATTGCGGAGGGTAACTCCCTAGTAATACAACACTAGCTATGAGTGGATTTGTGAGTGTTGTATGAAAGATAGCATGGAGGTCATGACCAGTGAGAGTTTCTTAGTCTCAAGGAAAGCCTTTGATCTGTGAAACCTCCAAAATAGAAAGTTACATGGATGGATGGATCTTCCATTCATTCTTACACACTGTGATATTTTTCAACAGAGCTGGGATAAAACGCCTTTCTTGTTTTTTAATGTTATATTGTGTTTCCGTGCATAAACCAGGAGTATGAAACCTTAATGTGCACATATTTTAAAATCGATAGAGCTGTTGGGGATTGCAGAAAATGCCAGTGGATGTTGAAAGTAAAAATTGCAGTTAGGCCATCTTCCAATGTTCTTGGAATGTGCAGTTTATCAGAACCTTTTTCATAAGGTACATTCACACATTCCCTGAACAACTAGTTTTTAAAATACCCAAACAGGACCCTCCTCCTTGTCTTTCCAACCTTCACCTCCCTGAGCCTGACTTACAAGTAGCCCTTGAGGGGATGTAGGTACTTCCTGTATGTACCATTTGTAGTATATAAACCATCATTGGAGGGGGTGTAGTAACGTTCCCTATTACAAGAACGTAGTCCTATTTTTATATTAGAATATGTTTTGTATATAAATCCATTACTACTATATTCTTTTTACTGGACTCTTGTTCCAAACAGATTCATATTTTATCTAACAAATCTATATAAAGTGTGCCTTTCATAGTCAGTAGAATATATGAGCAACGTTCTTCGTGATGCACCCTCCCTTCCCCTTTCCTCATTCTACCAGATTGTCCTAATGCTGATCCTGTAATTAATGGGAACAGATATTACGACTTCCTCAAAAGTTAACTTTCACAAAAACATCCCAATGTGACATGGCTATTGTGAAAAATGTTCTGCCATGCTAAGGGTACAGTTTTGTGTTTGAAAGGAAATTTTATAAAATGCGTTTGCAAGAAGAATATTGAATTATGCTTTTATTCACAAATAAAATCATGCACTTGTAGTTTAGTTGGAGTGCACACAAAAACTATTTCCTTCCTCCTTTTATATAAAGAATTTTTACATCCAAAGAAAATGTCCCAGCATGTAGATAGAAACAGGGTTATTCTCTAAAAGTATAGATTGACAGAAATTCAAAGCAAGTTTTTTATATTTTAGGCCATAATAACTAGATTGGAGTTCTCAAAACCAATTATCTGACACATTTTTGGCCAACATTTTTAAATTTATACTTAAGTGATTTACCTTCTTACTTTTCTAAAATCTGTTTCCACTCCTTGATATTATTCTGAAATAGTGATGTGAATAAAATGATTTGTATATGAAGGGCATGTGTCCTGGAATCTGGATAATTCAGATCAATCTTGTTTTATGTACTGGAGATCTTAGGCATCCTTTTATGGATTTATAGAGCTGTAGTGTGCTTAATTTTAACCTTTTCTTAAACCCTTTTTTTTTAACCTTTGGGAATGTTGCACACAGTGAAATAACTTTATTTTGGGTCTTTTGTGTCATGTTCCGATCTACTTTCAAAAATTCTAAATCATTGTTTAGTGTGTAAACCCGGTTCATGAATCTACATTGGCAAATCATTTTCCAGTGGATTACACGATATGACAGCAATGCCTACTTATGTACAGTTGGATAGAAGTGTATTTTCTTTGAGAAGAGTGTGCAAATAAAAGATTTCACATGCATGCGTTTGTTTTTAATTCAGCACAGGTATATGTGTCCTGTCAAAATTTGAAAATCCAGTAATACCTCACTGCTGACAAACTATGTAAAGGGACACTATAGGCATAAAAAAAACCTGGAGCTTAATGAAGCTGTTTTTGTGTATAGATTCTACCTCTGCGGTTTGACTGCTCAATTCTCTGACATTTAAGAGTGAAATCATTTTTGTTTTTATGCAGTTAAAAACCCTTCTGTCACTTACCCGATTCCAGCACCGATATCCCTCGGGCTGGTTCCGGCTCAGCTTCTGCGCCAAAGTCAGCCAGCGTGGGGAGACTTAGTGCGCCAATAGACGTTCTTGCATTAGGACTTACTTTGGGTACTTTCGGATAATGCTGGATGTCCTCATTGCTATGTCCAGCGTCAGGTGACCAAAGGTCACCTAACGACCTGTTAGTCTGGTAGACAGCCATTAGAGGTTAATTAGTTAATTATTGCAGTTTATTATTTCCTATAGTGTCCCTTTAATCATACACAGGATCCTCTTGTAGGTTCTAGGAGGGTATTAATAGATCAGGAGATGAGAAATTCTATATTAAACATTAGATCTCCCGTTACAGGAAGCGTTGATGGAAGGCTGTTCAAGTCACATGCAGGAGGAGTGAATATGACTGAGAATTGAGCAGTGAGACTGCGGGGGCATGACCTACACACCAAAACTGCTTCAATAGGCTAAAGTTGTTTTGGTAACTATAGTGTCCCTTTAACATAGTCATGAAAAAAGGGAACACTTGCCGCATAACTTACAGAATACTCCAGAATTTTTCCTTAAATTTATTTAAGCCAAGTAATTAAAATACATGCATTTGTGAAAGTAATAAAATTACAACACATCTTAAAAAAAAAAAAAAAAAAGTTACTGATTCTATAAATAGTAAAAATAAATCTCACCTGTAAAAAAAAATAGTTACATTGGCTGAAAAGAACCACGTGTCCAAGTTCAACCTTTCTCAAACCTAGTTACTCATTTCTGTGCATTAAGAATCAAAACGAATATTGCAACCATCTGTAGGGCATGTAACTTACAAGAAATCTGTGAATTGCTTGGAAATACATTATTGAGCACTTTGTGGGCTCTCATCGGTTGTAAGATCAAGGTTGGGAATAGATTTAACCAATAAGGCTATTTTTTTCTAAATGTGGAATATAGGATTATAGTAAATAGCAGAAAATAAGGAAGTGTATATTTTTTTTTTTCTATTGGCTAAACTATTTTATATAAGATTTTCTAAGGATTTTCCAAACCAGCTGCATTGGAAGATTGTTAATTATTTCTATATCACATTTGTGTCAGTATCAAAAATTTTAAATGAAAATTTTCAAACGGAACATCTTGTGTATGTATGTTTATTATACGAAGTACAATTAAATTTTTATGTATTTACATTTACATGAAAATACAGAGAAATTGAATTGACTTACATTATGGACCAACTATTCTTTTGACAGTCAGGGCTCAGCGTAGTGAAGCTTTCAGGCTCGTGAGCTATCAACAAACAGCAATTTAATCTTAGTTATATCATTATGTCAACATTGCTACACTTTAATTTACGGATGTCTTATCTGCTACATTCTAAGGTGCACCTTTAAAATGACTTTAATTTATGCCATACGTGGGTTTCGTTCTAAATCTTACAAAACTGAATTCTCAAATGGTTTCACACTCGGTGGTTGATGTGGAGCAGATGCCACAGTCACATCGAATTGCCACGGGATAGGTAAATGAAGGATCAACATCGGGAACGCAGTTTGGTAACTTGATGGTAACCAGCTTTGTTTCATTGTATGTGCACACTCTATGGTAAGCTTCAATGTAAGGGGGGTCCAGAACAGGCTTCTGCAATCACAAAACAAACCAGGGAAAATTAAATTACAATCCAGCATCTAAAACACAACAGACAGAGCTACATCTTTTTGGCAAAAGTGTGACCTTTGTCCATGTAGACAAAATGCATACATGTAATTTACATCTTGAAGACTCGTAACCTATTGCAATGGCTATGAAAACAACTTATTGCAGCTTGAGTCTCTATTATAGAATTTTAAACGAATGTCCAAGTTATTTCCATAGTGAAATGAGAGAGTTTGTGTGCATGCTTAAGTGACTTTGGCTAAAGAGATGTACAAAGCACCAGGTTGTACCTCCAAAAGTGCTCAAGTGTGGCAGAACATTACAGGAGCAAGTGATCCAGGCGTCCTGACTTCCTGCATTAATATGCTCTGTTCCAGGACCTGCACCTTTGCCACACAAACAGTTTACCTCCATATTCTACACTTTCTCACACAACCCCAAACACCTGTTTAAAACTTAACTCACTAATGTTCCCCATATTGCATCCACCATTTACTAATCTCACTGCTGTCAATTTTGCATCCTACTTCATAGAAAAGATTGACAACATCCTAAAAGAAATTACCTTGCTTGTTTCTTTCCATGAATGTCTTTGACCGGCCTCCTCTTCTACGCTTAAATCCCTTTCCCTGTTTCTGCCCTACCATGTGCCTTATACCTTACTTAATCTGTTATCTGGGACAGTTCCATTGTTGACTACAAGCTACAATCTCTTTCCAATGGCAATTTACCTTCGTCCTTCAAACACCAAGTGATCACACCCATTCTAAAACAAATAACCCCGCTACGGTCTGGGTTCCCATCTTAACATTCCTCTGGGATCGCCTTAACCAAGGTGACTAATAGACATGTGCAAGGAGGAAAAAAAGTTTGTTTTCAGTTTCAGTAATACAAAAACTTGTCAAATTCTTGAAGACCTAAAATGTGTCCATCCATTATTCCCTAAAGGGTACGGTTTAGTAGATGGCGCTCTTAACATGGTACTCTAATGGGGGGTTCTTCTGCCTATGATGCCAAATTAGGGTGCTGTTAAATGGGATCACCTATTTAATGGAGCCACATTTTTAGTAGATTACTACCATCATTTGATAGCCTGATGTGGGGTTCCCCAACCAAATGAAGGCACAGTTAAAGGAACACTATAGTCACCAGAACAACTACAGCTTAGTGTATTTGTTCTGGTGAGTATAAAAGTTTCCTTAAAGCATTTTCATGCAAATATTGTATTTTCAGAGATTTAGTAGTTGTGTGATATATAAAATCTCATGGATCATGTATGAGCAAAAAAAGCTTAGCAGGGTAAAATATTGCACCGGATAACCGAAAATAATAAGACTGATTCATTTCCATGACATATGTTCTGAGTAAACCTATTTCTGTACTGTATCAAAATGCTCACCTCCCAGGTTTCACAGCGCCCCCAGCAGGCATCAGTGGTGACACGTAGACCTTTACACCCAGGTTTCTTGGCCAGAAAGGTGAATTCCCTCACGGCGCAGCCAATAAATGTCCGCAGGCTTATATTGGATGTGGCAAGAGTATTCACGCACAAGGTTAAGACCAGAATGTGAACGGACACCAACGTTACTCCACACCTATTCATTCTCCCCGATGACACCGGATTCTATGCAAAACTATTTAAAGAAAGATCATGTTAGTAAAATGCAACATTGACAATGCCATGCCAACTGTGCAACAGACCCAATGGTGCTGTCAGGCTGGTCATTTAAATAGGTTTTATTTCAAACACCAAATATTGTAAAAGAATGTATATTCATAAAGTCGCAAAATGTAAATATATATAATATAAAACCCCACGTCCATACTGTAAAAGCCAGATATATCTCTGTGGAGACTTTCTAGATCAGGCATAGGCAACCTTCAGCACTCCAGATGTTTTGGGCTACACCTCCCATAATGCTTTACCAGCATTATGGGTGTAAGAGCACCCGAAGGTTGCCTACCACTATTCTAGTATGTGCTCCTCAGGCATGAAATAAAGGGAATTCTTAACACCTTTTTGACAGAGCCCAAAATGACATAGTTGGGGAAAAAGGATGAATTCTTCAAATGTAAAATTAGCGCAGTAGCTCTTTCTGCGATTCTATTACAATATAGAACAAATAAAGTTCTAGACTCTTTACACAGGGTCTCCCCAAAATCAGAGAGGTCTCTACTGCAACAAGAATAACTTCTAGATCACAGGATGTCTGGAAAACAAGCAAAAAGTTAATAGTATCCTTCAGGTTTAAACTGTCCGATATTATTACAAAAATTACATTATACAAAGTACTATAAAAATGACCATTGGTTTGCCATTTATTTAATAGTATTAATGCACATTGTATGGGGCAGGGGAGGCACTTCATGACATTCTTATTCAGTCACCAAGACTGAAAATGTTTAAATTCAGGCTAATTTGGGGTCATTTTGTGTGGTATGCAAATTAAATTTTTATGAAAATACAAGTACCTTGGTTTTTAATAGATTTAAAGAAAAAAAAACAAATGTAACAGTAATTATCATGTAAGAATAAGAGAAACAAATGAATACATCCGCACATCTCCTTAAAATTCTGTTATAAAAAAGTGACTAAAGCACGTTGCCAAAAATACTTTTGTGAAGGATTTACAAACAGGGCAAACTTAAATGAATTGGAAAAAATAAAAATGACACCAGGGCCAGTAGATATGAAAGGATTGTTTGAACCAAAGCTACTGTTATACTAAAGAGTCCAAAAATGGCAAAACCTGTGTTTTCAAAGGGAATTTCACTTTCAAGGAAAAATTCTCTAAGCCAGCTATGGCTCCACTTTGACTATTTTCGTCTAAAATCTGAAATTCATTGAGGAAATCCACAAAAACATGGGAAGGAAGGGATGAAAACAACCAAAACTTGCATATTTTGAATTTGAATCTGGGAAGCGAATCTACTTGTTCGGTCTAAGGGAAAGTTCCACAATGTGACACAGGTATGGTAAAGCTATGCAGCATTATATTTAAAGGATACAGAACTGTGAAACTGCATGTAGTATGGAAAAGTAATGCGATCACGGGATTCTGGAGACATAATAAATCATTATAATGAAAGTAGAACGGTTTGTAAACGTCACCAAGACCCTGTATGCCATTATTATTCCATAATGCACATTTCCATATGTATCCTTAATATTACATGATATTTTCTATACTAGGTTATTATGTTAGGTGTAGTGTAGGGATTTAAGGGTAAGGGGTGGTATGTTACAGCACTGTATGGGTTAAAAGTAAGGGGTAAAATGGAAATCTAGGGGTTAACAGCAAGGAGTAGTATGTTAAGGTAATGTAGGTGTTAAAAGCAAGGAATAGTATGTTAAAACACTAAGGGTTAAAGCCATTCAGAGTATATTATGGCAATATAGGGATTCAAGGCCAGGGTTAGTATGGAAGTGTAAAGAGCCAGGGGTAATGGTTAAAGACAATGAAAATATAAGTATTGTGGTGAATAAGTGCTAAGGGACGAGGGATAATGTAAGTGTTGGGGTAGTGTAAGGGTTAATGGACGAGGGATAATGTAAGTGTTGGGGTAGTGTAAGGGTTAACGGACGAGGGATAATGTAAGTGTTGGGGTAGTGTAAGGTTTTATGGACGAGGGATAATGTAAGTGGGGTAGTGTAAGGGTTAACGGACGACGGATAATGTAAGTGTTGGGGTAGTGTATGTGTTGGGGGTAGTGTAACTAAGCATAAATTCTATTTTAGTCACAGTATAACTCCCACTAATGTCTTTATCACACACTTTCACTAAGCTTGCAATATAAAACACATGGATGAAAAGCAGAACCAGTAAATTGGACAAGTTAAAGAAAGGTGTATGAAAATGTCTCTCCCCAGGCAAATGTAAAGTCATTAATCTCGGAATCTGTGGAAGAATGAAAATACATTTCCATGTATATTTGTTCACCTGCAACACGTGCTTCACTTTAAAAACCCATGCTAAAGTTGTTATTTTTTCTGTTTTTTGATTTAAGCATTGTAACTTTGCCAAACCACAGTTGCTGCTGACACATTGGGCAAATTAAGTACTCTAAACAAATGTTACATCAAATTTACTTGGCACCAACGTATATTCTGTCTAGAACAAAATTCTCAACGATACCTCGATACATTCTGCATTAGAAAAATTCATAGATCCAAAATAGAAAGGATAAAAATATCAGCTTTTCTATAGTTTAGTCATCAGATTAAAATTCCTGTTTATCGACATTCTCATTTTGCAAAAATAAAAATACTATTTCATTTTAAACTCCACAACAACAAAACAGATTCATACAGAATCATAACTATACATTTACCTCCACATAAAAGCCTATGATTAAGTACTACGTGCTGTGTAAATTCCTCGAAAGATTTCATTGCGTTCAGTCTTTTTTAATTGTACTGTAAAGTAAATTGTGCCAATTCCTAAATCTGAAAAGGCTTTCCTTCAGCAAGTTTCTCCTGCTCAGCATTGTTATATAAAACACTCGTATGACAATAGCCGTTTATTATTTTTAGAGATGGCCAAAGAAATCCTGAATTTATACATTTTATGCAGTGCAATATTTTTGGTAAAATTAAAAACAAAAACACGTTTTTCAACAATCAGCTGACTTTACTGATGTATTGCATACAAACTTCAGATTCTTCATTTGACTCGACTACTGTGCATTCTAACCATTAACCTTCTCCTTTTCTTACCAGAGTAGTTCGTTCTGAAAGGCCCTTTGCAATACTATGTCTTAGGATACAATCAAATGCACATTCTATACATTATTTTAATTATTATTTTTTAATTATTGTTTTAGCTTTAATTCTTCTACTGGAATACTGCTCCAAATAACTACAAAATGTTTTATAGAATTGGAAGTTTAATAAGGCACATCATACAATATTGATATTCCTGAAACACAATGGTTTATAATTTAATTGGCAAATTATAACTTAAAACTGTATTTTATTATAAGTTAGCGCTTATTCCTATATAGTAGTATTAGATCTGCTGATTCCATCTAAGATATAAAGCAGAGAGAATGTTTTCTATTTAGTACTGTGAGGATCTAGAAAAATAGTTCTGAATATTGCCAACTTTGCTATTTTTATTTTCCCCACGCTGAAAAATATTAATTAAAAAGAGAATATTGATATTAATTAGTATATCTGGGTCTTAACATGCCTGAAAAATCCCACTTGAAAACTTTATGAAACTTTTTTCCCACCAAAATACGAGTCTTATATTGCAGAATAATTTGTACAAGCGTTTAATTAAAAGCAAGAGATTGTAAAATCACAAAACATTTTATAGAAGCAGTTCAGAAGCAATACATCGAGCACCCATTCCCGATCTTAGATTTAACAAACAACACAAGGAAATGCATTAAAAAGACACAACGTGTAAATAAAATGTAACCGACCTGAAAAGTTGTGTCGGGTTCCTCGGCTTATCTCTGCGGTGTCTTTTCTGCCAGACAAATATATAGAAAGTGACTTGTCAATCAACACGAAATGAAGGCAAATCCTTACATGAACTGCTGAGAACATCAAAGATTGTTCACGTAAGAAGGAAGCTTCTTACCTAAACCTATTAAATATTTCAAAGTGCATCATTTCATAACCTCATCCAATGAGACAAAGCCTGACAATGTTAACGGTGACTTCTCTGGTGACATAATTGTAGGGGAAAGAGTGATGGGCAGGGATGCAAGGGATTATTAAACCCTCGTATGAACAAATATAAGGGATCAGGATGGATCTTCCCTTTTACAATTGTGACTCACAAACAGAATCTAAAACAATCATTTTGGAAAATGAAATAAACCCATGATGTATTGCGGCTTTGTATGTTGCAAGGAGAGAAAATGGATTTAATACTATAGCAAAAGGAAAAAAATAAAAAAAATTAAATGTTTTAGCAGTCAGCATATGGAGCAGTAAATACTTGGCTAGGGTGTGTTTACTGTTGTGGAAAATAAAGGCTCTTTAAAAGGCACATAAACAGTATGGGGAAAAAATTACAAATCATGAAAGTAAACTGCAAAAATACAAAATAAAATGAATAATCTTTGGTTAAAGAAACACTCCAAGCACCATAACCACTTCAGTGTACTGGAACAGTTAGGTGCCAAAAGTGCCCAGTTGTAGTCATCCTGCTTTAGAAAGGTTTGACGTTTTACCTTGGGTTTGCCGAGTGCCACTCCATACCTTCACTACTTCCGACAGAGAGCCAGAGGCTTTAGTGCAGGGCTTGAAACAGCTCCGATGTGTCGAGGCATGGACTTCACAAGACCTCTGAACGTGTCCTGTTCTTTCTGGCACCAAGACATTAGAACAGATCCTTCAAACCCTCCAAGTTTCGAGTTGTGTCTGCAGAAATCTCTAGGTAGGTGGTACATGTCAAAGTAAGACACACATGAATAGCAGGACCCAAAATTAACCAACAGAACATTGCCCAGATCATAACACTACCTCCGCTGGCCTGCGTTCTTCTCATGGTGCATTCTGCTGCCATCTCTTCCCCAAGTAAATGACAAATACATTCTTGGATATCCATCTGATCTAAAAGAATTTGTAAATCATTAGATCAGCCATCCTTCTTCTAATGCTCCATGGCCAATTTCTGACACTCATGTCCCCATTGAAAGAGCTTTTGGGTCATCATCGACTATGTGTGTGCATTACACCTCCCCATAGGAAAGCATTATTCAATGGTTTCCTATTGGGATGCCGGTGACGCTGGAGGTCCTCATGCATAGCGTGAAGACATCCAGCGTCATTTAAAACACTTTCCATGTTTTAAGAACCAGGATATCCCTCTAGTGGCTGTCTGATAGGACTTAACCTTGCAAGGTAATTATTGCCATTTATAAAAAACTGCAATAATTACAGTTGCAGGGTTAAGGGTGGTGGGAGTTGGCACCCAGACCACTCCAATGGGCAGATGTGGTCTGGGTGCCTGGAGTGTCCCTTTAAGTTTTTAAGCAATTTAAGCTACAGTAGCCTTCGTTCCCTACATGCACCAATGAGCCTTGGGCACCCATGACGCTGATGCTGGTTCACTTGTTGTCCTTCCTTGCACCACTTTTGCTAGATATTACCTACTGCATACTGGGACCACTCCACAAGGCTCGTCATTTTGGAGGTGCTCTGACCATCACAATTTGTCTCTTGTCAAAAATCACACAGATTTATTCGCTTGCCCATGAAATGAAAGAACTGACTTTATTTTCTGCCTAATATATACCACCCCTTGACAGCTGCCATTGTAACGATATAATCAATGTTATTCACTTCACCGGTCAATGGTTTTAATGTTGTGCCTGATCACTGTATATGTGGGTTTACATATTTAGTGTTAATGTTTATGTGTGTGTGGTGGTATCATTAGACAAGTGTGTGAATGCAGAGGTGAATTTGTGTGTAGACTGTGTTTAGTTTAGTCCTTAAATTGATCTGAATCACAATTCAATAATAGCTCATTTGGAAATATTCTACAAGTCAAATATAACTCCAACATGGTTATTTTAGCCCTCATTTAGCAGATCAGAGTTCAATTTGCTACAGTTCAGCATTTAGTGAATAACCCTGTGTGTGAATGCATGGGAGTATTTTTGTTAAGTGTGAATGTGCAGGAATGCAGTATTGTAGATAAGTGAATGCACTACAGGGACACTCCAAACCCCTAAAACACTTGCAGTGCTTTATATGTTTACAGTGTGTCCTATTTATTTAATTTTTTTCATTTTACAAAAAGTACAAATTTTAATAGAAATTGTTAGTTTTGTCAATTAATCATGTTATACCCCTCTGACTGTCAGACAACCAGTCCTGTTACTTCCTGGCTTGGTTAGCTCAGTGGAGCTACACTCAAGAGGAAGGTAATTGCCCAGAGCACCTGCCCTGCAAAGACTTCTCATTGAGCTGCATTGGGAAGTCTGTGATTGGACAGCCACAGAAAGTCTGGGCGGGTTTAGAAAAGGAGGGTTTGCAAAGGCTGCAGACAAGAGATCTGCAGCTTTTGCAAGCAGTTTATAGATATACCCTTATCAAGACATGCATAATTGAATGCATGTATGTTTAATTTGGGGTATATCTACTAAACAGTTATTTGTTGTTGTTGTTGTTGTGACCCTTTAAGTAGGATTTGTGTTTGTTTCCCATAGGTTTATAGGTTTCTGTGGCAGTAATAACAGCTGGCATGTATAATTATTTTCTTACCGTCGTGTGTGAGCCCACTTCAGTTGGAGAATTACCAGGCTTTGCGTACACTGTGGAGATCACACAGTTTGTCACAGACAGACAGACATACTAAACATGTTTCTTCCTTACAACTGCCATATGTCTTCACTATAAGAAAGAAAATAAAAATATGTCATTAGGTAAAGGTGGGGTAAAGAAGAGCTTATGTTTCATTACAGGTTGCGGGGCTGGGGCCTACGGACACTCCCAGTGGTAGTCACTCAGGCTGCCACTAGAGGGGATTCCTGGGACAGTGCTGCACAGTGTGCAGGAAGGACAGTCAGCGTCTCCACCCTCTGCAATGCGACGCCGAACGCTAACCATAGAGCTGCGTTGTGTTTCTACAGGGAGATGCAGCTTGGTCAGGGCAGTATTTTTCTGTGCATGTGCAATAGCCTCCTAATGCTTTCCTATTGGAAAGCATTGGATTGGCGCGGAGTTCATAAAGTTTAAGAACTATAGTGTTAGAAATACAGGTTTGTCTTCCTGACACTATAGTGTTCCTTTAAGCCAGATTGATTTGTGATACATGTTTTGGCTGAATTGGAATGAAAATCTTGTCAAATTCCACAGGTTACGCCAATACTTAACTAAGAAATTAAAAACATTGTGACAGTCCAATATGCAACTTTGTTCATCTCTTTGTGACATCTATAACAACTGTGCAGAAAGTTAAACAGGGAGGACCAGAGAGAGACTGGTTTCAAACACTGTCTGACCCAAGTATATGTCATATACTAAAGGTAGGGATGAGTTTTTATAATTATTTTTACATATACCTTATTTAATAAAAAAATAAAAAAATAAAGGATTGTTCTATTAGAAAATAATTTTGAGATGATAATTGTCCTTTAAGGATTCCGCCCCCCTCTACCCCCCTCCCTATTCAGTGGGACAAATAAAAATCATTTCAAATTGTGTTTTACACCTTCTTTTGGATCAACAGCAGAAACAGAACTGCAGAAAGACGGTACTTGGCAGACAAGTTTTTTCCAGTCCATACAGGTAGTCCTCACTTAGTGACTGCTCGGAACATACAACCAGCTCTCTAGTGCGGGGAACCCCTCGAATCGGAGTCTCACAAATTCCCCCAAACATATATTCGAGGGATTCCCCCTGTAAGAGAGCTGGCCTATGTTGGGAGAATTTCCCCTGAACACATATTTGACGGACTCCCTCTAACATAGACCTGCTCCTTAGCGCATACAAGTCTTGGTTGTCCCGCTGGTGTGAGGCATCCTCGCTTACGGACCAATGCGTCTTACGACCGAGTCATAGGAACGGAACGTGATTGGTAAGTGAGAAGTGTGTATTATCATGCCATTATGAAACTATAATTCTATGTTGCTCTATTTCAAATCTATTCATGTTGGAGTGGATTGAATCTGTATTTTCCCAGATAATGCGGATGTTACAAATTCTCCATTTACTACATTACCTTGTTGATATATAGGGGTTTGTATCAAACAGAAGTGAAAGCATGCATTTTCTAGGGCAGTCTAGTCACATTTCTCATAAAAAACATCTATGCTAATTTCACAAGTCACTACGTACTATCCCAAATAAAACACGATAGCTGTACTTAGTGAGTGCGTGGGGTACACCGAGGGATATACGTGCGTCAATGACATCGCGTTACAGAGTTTATTTTACTGCCTGCGTGACTAACTTGCTACACTGAGCTTTTAATGCAAAACAAAAATGTAATCTTCAAGATAATAAAATTTAAAGTCTTAACACATTAATCCTTAAGGGAAACACCAAAACGTGGGTTTCCTGGTGTCATGGAAAGGGAGATTTAAAATAAATACTTAACATCGTTAGCACATAAAATAAAGACAAAACAATGTATATCTTGGATTGCTGACCATTAACATATAAAAAGTTATATTACGTATATAGAGAAAAAATACTTTACTTATTAATTACAGAATTGAAAGAGGGTATATATCAGGGCCTTTCCTTTACAATCACTCCAACAGCCAATCAATATTGCAGATAAACAGCAATTTAAAGACATGGTGTAGGTGACACAGTGAAATAATGCTCACATCACATTCCTAACGAACATGAAGGTAGACGAAGTCAGATTTTCAGGAATGTGAATTCCCATATAGTCTGCACAATGACCACAATTGGTCTGTAAGGGGCTACAATTACAAAATCTGTGCATATAGTTGCCCAATTTAGAACGACTGTATAAAAAAAAAAAAAAAGCACACACAAACCCCCCCCACACACACACACAAAAAAAAAACCAGTGAATAATAATATGTAAATATTATCTTGTCCAAAAAGTAGAACCTTCCTACTTGGCCTTTGCAGTGTGCTTAGAAATGCAAGTATGTACGGGAGCTGGGGTGAAGACTCGGGTGTCCTAGATGGGACACTTATGGAGAAAAATAAGCTGTCACTTAGGAGTTGCAGTCAGCAAGCTGTTAGAAGACAGCAGACAATACTACTCTATGTAGGAGATACCCTGACAGCGCTGATTCCAGCAGACGCCCTTAAACCCTAAAAAGAAAAAAAAGAAAAACAAAAACACAAACATGCAGCATTCAGTGTTATAATAAGCGGACACAACTACCTGGGTTTAACAAGAAGCTGTATGGTTTCAATACAGTTGTAATAACTACATGTGCAGATTGTGTAATTCTGTGCATTGTGTAGACTATCTGGGAATTCACATTCCTCAACTGCTGACTTAGTCTTCGTTCGTATTAGTTAGGAATGTGAGCATTTTTTTAGCAATAATAATTGACTATTGGAGCGATCATAATGTATAACCCAAATGCCAGCGGAGAACTCGCAGATCTCCATCACATGTTCAGGCCGCCCATAAGAAGAGTATGTCAGCCGCAGAGTCTTGTCATGGGTGCTTGGAATGTCCTGCAGGTGTCTTTTTACTAAAGTGTCAATAAATGGAGGTATCTGTATGATGTACTGGTAAAGGCCTGGTAAATGAGCCTAATACAGTGTACGTACATGCTGTGACATCCAATCCCGCTCAGGGTGGTTGAACTGGATGGAGTGGGGAAAAAACCCCAGAAAGAAGCTTGAGACACAGGGGGCGAGAGGTACTAATAAAAGGTAGGGTTGAGAATAGTTTCATCCATTACTTTAACCCCTTAAGGACACATGACATGTGTGACATGTCATGATTCCCTTTTATTCCAGAAGTTTGGTCCTTAAGGAGTTAATGAACGTAGCTACCAATCGGAACCTTGTTTGAGCAGGGAATTATTCACTTCACAATGAATGAACGTTTTGTGTGGAATGTTGACCCACTGCCCCTCTACTTTACACACAATTAGCACTAGGTGAACACATTTATAGTATAAGTCTACATAACAAAACAATGGGCAAATATAGAATTTTTAAATTCCAATGACTGCTAGACCAATCTCACGGAAAAGAAAATTAATTGGGGGATAATTGATCCGTAAATCACAAGTGATGATAAAATCTGGTAAATAGAGAGCAAGATAATGGGGTGGGGATGGGAGCGGGGAAATCAAACCATGTGCTGTACTAGTTGCCCCATCTTTAGCCTTATAGAGATTAATCCTCTTCTTTACTTCTTTTGATCAATCTATTATTTGTAATCCATCTTTATTAAACAGTTATGCAGAGAAAAAAATCCATTTGTACCAGTAACGATGTATCATAACTGAATTCCTTGTAGAGGCAGGATACACACTTTATCCTTTTCTAAGGGTGGCATTAAATCATTAAATAGTTTGTATTTTGGGTTTGAATCAGCCGCCTGATCTCTTCGGCTAACTGGATTTTCCAACTAAAACGCTCTTTATACAGGGGATCAGTGCTTTTAAATGGCTTTGAAAGATGGTTTTACTCATTCCAAGGTTTTGTAGGAGCACTCCTTGTTTTATCCTTCTCTCAAGCTCCAGGGCTTAGGGTAACAAGGTGTTCCAAAATGAAAGTGGCTAATTGAAACGAATTGTTAAGAAAACTGCAAGGCAGGATTAGGGTGGATTAGGTGTACATTACATTTTCCTTAGTAATTAATCCAAACAAATACTCTCTATTAACAGCTGTTCCAATGATTTGGTTTCCTTTAATATTTAGATCGATTCATGGACTTCATTTATAAATACACTACATGTTTATGATGTGAACATCTAGCATACTATAATAAGGTGTGTGGATATATATATTGCGTATCTTTGTACATCAGACTGTCTCTCACTATGCTGAAGATTTTTTGAACTGTCGGGCAGGGTTCACCAGCCCTGTCTGGCAGTATGCGGAATTCATTAGTTAAATGTAAGGAACACTATAGTGTTAGGTATAGTGCTTGAATGCACTATTAGGTACTTGGCCCCCTCTTACCTTTTCTCCCTTGCCATGGCTGAGATCATCAATTCTGATCCAAAGGAAACCTTGCGCCAATCAGCATCTTTTCATAGAGATGCATTGAATCGTTGCATCTCTAAAGGGAACATTCAGTGCACACTGTGCAGCAGCGACACAGGAAGCCCTTTAAGTGGCCATCCGAGTGAATGCCACTCGAGGTGTTCCTAGGCTGTAATGTAAAACACTGCCTTTCTGCGGTTCTACTAAGGTATTGTTTCTCAAGTCAGTTGTTAAACCCCATGAATATTTAATAGTATAAGTAAATAAAGTTAAAACATGGCCTTAATGGCAAAATAACTTACCGTTTTTCCAGAGGCACAGAGTCTGTCAATAGCTGTATATTGCATACACCGTAAACTGGAGTGAATCAAGACAGTCATGAAGTTACAATCCATTAAACTGTCCTCAAACATACAATCAAACGACACACATTGCCAATACTGGATAAGATTTACAATGAGGCAAGAATTCTCAAAGTCACTCACATTTTTCCTGATTTGCAATGCAATACATGCAATACAAATTCTAAGGCAAGGAAATACAACTCTAAACTGCTGTAGAGAAAAATAAATAAATTGGTACCTTTATTTGGAGGTGGCAGAAACAGCGTTCGTGTTCAACGGAGGGACAGACAGTGGCCTTTTCAGGTGTGTACTAGCTTTTCCAGATGATTACGGTGACTGTACCAATTATCTACATTTTCTTGGCCTCGATTGGACGTCTAATTGCTGTGCAAGGAAATTCCTAAAAAGAATTACCTTGGGCAGATATTCTCCAATACATTCGTAGTTCCTTACCTTTGAAGAAGCGATTCTGCTATACAGGTCAAGGTTTTATTTCATGCTTTCATATGAGCAATATTCCAATATAAACATGCCGCAGAGAATCTTGACCATATAAGCCGCCTGCCTTCTGAAGGGGGAGAAGAAAAAAAAAAAAAAGAAGAGACACCAACTCACACATAGATCAAAAGTAATTGCCTCATTCCTTCATAGGACCCAAACAATGTGGACTTGCACAGGCTAATGGCCATGTATTCTACAGACAGTACTAGTTACTAGTCGTATTATACTCAAGTGCAGGTAATTTATTTGTTTCTTCTTTATTAGCAAGAGTCTGTGTAAATAATTGCATTGTACCTCGTTTAGAAGTTGGTGCTAATGTGGACTTGGGCAAACTAGATGTGCCGAATGGTTCTTATCTGCCATCACATTCTACGTTTCTATGTGGACTTCTAGTGAGTCTTTATAGCACTTTTCCATTGGCCAAATTGGCAAGTGAAAGGCACAAGGTCCAGATTCACGTAAGGGCCTCCAGGACCACCCATTGAAATTAGACCAAGGTGTCCAGTTTATTTTTGGTGATCTGCAAGTTGCCAGGGAAATACTATCATCTCCCTGGACTATCCAGCTAAAAAGTGTCACACAAGGAGCATGTGTGCCATCTTTTTATTTTCAGTTTTTTAACTACAATGAAATAATTTGAGAATAGTACAGCAAATGTCGGTATAAGACAGTATAGCGTAATATAGGCCCTTAGTGCCAAATGGATACATGCTTTGAATGTATTTACAAGCAATACTTGGCAATATTTAGCAGATAGATAAATTCAAGGTAATAACATTGTGCTGCATGACTGTTCCCATTTAGGGTTGCAAGTGTGAGGGCGTCATTGTTCTCCACTGTATCGGTTTTTCCCCACAGTCTTTTTGTCCGTGACACTGTTAGTGTGTGAAAGATGAACTCTGGATTATCGTAAGCCTTCTTGTTGTGTGCCATCTTTATACATAAACCGCTTGGCACAGAATTGAGAGAGCAATGTAAAGGGTCCTACTAATAGTAAATACGAAGATATGATGACATATCCCCAGTGCAGTTCACCAACTAGTCCATTCACAATGCACCAATGTTGTTATGAACAAGTACAGATAAACTCCATAGACAGACTGAGCTTTGTCTGAAACACTGTCCATTACACCTAAAGTTGCTTTGGCATTTATCCATCCTGTGCACTGATTAACAACAGTTGGAAACAAGAATGCAGCTGGTCCATTGCACATAGGAGAAGACATCTACTCCACTCTGGGACAGAATTCTCTATACTCCTCCTTTCCCCTGCCCAAAATCCCTTTGGTTTCTTTAGTAGTATATTTGTATGAGGTCCATATTTGAGGTATTGTGCAATCACGGTCTTTCTCCACTAATTTGCCCATCATTCCTACACAAGTTCATCTTCATCTAATTTATCCAAAAGGCGTTCAGGAACAGTAGGTAACAGTTTGGTGTTTTTGTCAAACTGTAACCTGTTCTTTGCTTAACACTTACCGGTGGTTCTTACATCTTGGTTAAAACTCTGAACCCATATTAATATAATCATCTTTACTGTATTTTTTGACAATGCTACAGTGATATTAAAGATACACTATAGAGACAGACCAAGACCACTTCATGTCTTTGTAGTGGTCTGGGTGCACTGTCCCGGTCTCTTTAAAAGGGATTCTATAGTGTAAGGAATACAATTCTGTATTGCTTACACTACAGTTCCCTCTAGTATCCCCTGCCCCCCATAGTATCCCATGGCATTGCTTCAGTGTTTTCCTATCGGGATTTAACAGATGAGGATGTCCAGTGTCAGTTAAGTGCCCAAAAGTTGCCTAGAAAGCAGGAAGTGCTTTAAGTAGCTGTCTGACAGTCACTATACAAAAAAAAAAAAATCTAATGATTCAAATTAACACACTTGACCAGGGAATAAAACCGCCATTATTTTATTATTTATGGCCCTATATATGAAACAATTGTACCTCTAAAAGCAAATAGGATGGGCCCCAAATGAACATGTACCGCCTGCATTATACATCATGGTTTTAATTCTAACATGATATAGTTGAGTACAGAGTCAAAAAAACGAACTTATTCAAATTCTCAAATACTTTACTAGATCTCAAGTGGTTGTCTGTTGTGGGACTTCATTTAGTTATTTTCCAAAGGCTGAGTGCTAGTTGGAAGGAAGACGTTTTACTTGTAAAGGTAAACCATAAATCCCAGATGGCGGCTTGCCACATCTATTAAAGAAATCTTGTCAAATCAAGTGACATTTGAAGTCAAGTTTTACATTAGATTTGTGGTTGTATGCTTAATGTGCACCTTGCATTAAATTAGACAAATCTTTGGCATACTGCATCTGCTGAGGTCATGTTGGGCAAAATGCCATGAACTCTAGTAACCAGTTCTATCAGCTAAAACATGGTCTTTTTATATCTGAGAGATCTTCCGCTGGCTTACTGTATTTATATGTTTTAAAGCTACCCTGCATTTACGTCATGAGCCAAAATGTTAAGACCACTACTTACAAAAAAAAAACAAAAAACACTTTGTGAGCCAAAATAAATCCAATTGTTGGTGTTGAATAAAACCTTTGTTTACTCCCATAATTGAGTGCCTGCCTCTTCCGTGAATTTCTGTGTTGTATGTACTTTGAAGAAACACTCCAAATATAAGAGGCTTAAATGTTCAATTAATTGCACCATTACTAGGATCCAATAGATGAGTGGGTTTTCCTATGACAGACCTTGTGCCTATTTCATGTTGTTTATGATTAGACCAATCCAACATTAAACTTCTTATGGATAAATTCGATTAGATTCTGACTTTTCACTGACCCTCTACTGCAGGGTGTTCTATTCCAAACCAGGAAAACGGTAAGATCACAGTCTTGCCGACAGCACTCACAGTGATGATATAGTCTGTCTGAACAATCGCGCATGCACAGTTACCTCTTTAGGACGAGCTGCCGGGTAAAGCAGAGAGATCTTTGGTCTGGTAAATGCGGTTCCTGATCAGCACTTACTTCTATAGCAGCAGGGAGAGAATGCTGGGGAGTTGATTGTTTCCCTTTAAATAAGCTTTATATTCTGTGTAAAATTAGCTCAGCCAAAGCGGTTATGTGGAGAGGATCATGCACAAAGTCTAACAATGCTTAAGGAAAAGTCACCAGTATGAAAGAAATTGGTTGCTTGCATTTCAATGAACCTTTTTATTAAAAAAACCAAAAACGGGAAGAAAAAAAAAAAAAATCCTCCCCTTCCACCTCCCCCCCAATACCACTCTAAGTTTGCAACATTTGACATATCTGGATGATTTCTTTTCCATTATGTTTTTAGAGATTTTTTCAGTTATTTCTGAAATTCAGATTGAGTGACAGGCTTCTAAAAACTAGACTAGCAAAACAAATAGTTTTAAGCCATGATCAGACGGATTTTTTACTTAAAAAAATGCAAGGAAATACTTTTTTAAAACTAACCTAAGCAGAGATTTCCTTTATTCTGTTATTAACCGCCTTTATAAATAAGACAGCCTATATTGCTTTTTTTTTCCTTTCAACCAATGAGTTTATGAATTTACATATTTGACCTAAAATCATAGGTCCATTCCCTTGAACAGACCTCCAAAAAGGTCAAATTGAATTTGTTTTGTTGATTAAAATTCTTCCAGGTACATATTTTCATAATGAAATAAAAGATGAGAAGCTACAATTAATTCACTTTTTCACCAAGGCCAATATGGCAGCAAAAATCTATACTTTTTTTTTTTTTTTCAAAATACATATTTATACTAAATCATACAACAATGTGTGTATGTTTACAGCTGGTTCAAACTTAACAGAATTATGTACACATTAGAAATTGACCACAATTACCATCGTTTAGGATAATATATTACAAGGGATAAGCTTATAAACCAGAAACATTGCACATAGGACAAAGGAACCTAATCATGAGAAACAGACTTAAACAAAACAAAAAGTCTCTGCATTTGCTTACAAATATCTAAATGAAAACAAGTTAAACCTATATCTAGAAATATTGAAGAATTACGATGTTAAAAAAGGTTAAAGAAAATATGAATGTTGAATGTATTAGACAGAACATATATGATCACGGAGCTGATGGCAATGAATACAACTTATAAAGACAGACACATGGAGTTATATATAATATATATAACATTTGTACACAATTCTTACCGCATCTTCCTGCTAGAGTTCTAATTTCAGTGCCCCCACACAAACCCCACTTGAATGCAGATTGTCAATAAGTGGTAAAATTTTGTCACAATGCACCTTTGATATAAAAGCATTTTAACTTTATTAATACTCAGGACAATAGGAATATCCAGATTTTGTTTTGTTTGTTTCAGTAGCATTTGTAGAACCACTTCTGGTGATAAATACAATAATTAAATGGGCATCCAGTTTAGAATGCAAAAGGGAGTTTAAAGAGAAAGTCTCCCACGGGAAACGCAAAAAAATGTCTGGCACATGAGTCTACAGTCCACAAAAAATGCAATATGATTATTCAGAGGGAACATCCCTTTTTGCTGGAATTCTTTTTTTTTTTTTATTTCATCATTTTTAAATACATACTATAAAATAAGGCAATAACTCCAAACAGCTCAAACTGTTTTTTTAAGGTCATCTATGAATACAATCATAACCTTTCGGAGACCTCTGTCCTGTTTGCACCGTTTAGTGTTTTGGTTTTTTTTCCTTTTCTTTATTTCAAAATGGTCCGAAAAAAAACAATTTTTTTTTTTGTAGGATAATAATGGCGAATATATAAGATCCTAAAACAGTCCTGTATTGCATGTCGCAATGATGTAGCAGATATAGCGAATACTGGTTAGGTACTGCGTTTTGCATCGCTGACCGTGTGTTTATACAAAGCTCATTATCAACACACATTGCGGCATAAACACCACCATAAAATTCTGCCGGATTCTCTTATGCATACCCAATATTGGAGAAAAGAAAAAAATATATATATGTTTTTTAAAATAAGCACCAGAGCTAGACCAATATTTCACAAAACCATTGTGGGGAACAGTTCTGCAAAGACATTCAGCTCTTCAAAGATGCGAAAAAAAAAAGAAAAAAAAAAAAGGACAATGAAAAAGGTATCCAGGTTATGAGGATGCTCCACAAACCTAAATGATGTCCCCCCTATTTTTAACTATATCAATAGACTTAACAGAGGAGAAGCTAGAATGAATACGTATACATATCAAGTGCCTGACCATGGGAATTTTGACACCGCAAAGAGATCCAAAAGGTTTTAAAGAAAGTTTAAAACAATGAATATGTTTGTAAAGTTCTGAGAAGTTCGTCTACTGTCCAAACTTTGGATTAAAGTCCATATATTTTTCTTTACTTAGACAGTTATATACAGTGCTGCTGTAATAATGAAACAAATGTGATCTACTGTAAAGTTGCACAATACAGAAACTGTTGATCCATCTCCTAATACATAATGTGACTCCACAGGATGAAGATGCAGTAGCTTCCTTTGTTAAGTGGGGATAATTCCATCACTCCTAAGACCTCTCTTTAATTCAAGGTCCTCTAATTTTTTCCATAGTTCTTCACGCTCCTTTTCTTTTTTCTTCTCACTGTCGAGAAATTGTAAAACGTATGTTAACATCACAAAGGGTCTTTGTTTAGCCGTTTATGGCTGTAGGTATCATTTGCCCTCTCTCCAGCTAGACTGTACAAACGTATCTCTCAACTGGACATTTAAAAGAAAACTGTGGCCATTATTTTCTGTTAAACTGGTTTCCTGACAAAATAAAAGCAATTTTAAAATTAACGTTTTCAGTTTTTGTGAGCTTACTGAAGCCAGCTCTTCCCCAGGACACTATTTTAACATAAGAGGAGAGTGCACAGATACGGTCAGCAATACAATCAGCCAATAAGAGTCTGACATTTTACAGGGAGTGTATGAAAGTGTAATGAACGCTTCATCCCACAATGTCAAATGCAGACCACTATTTTTAAGAATTCCAATTAATTCGCCAGTCAATTATAAGTATTATTCAAGACATCTTCATGTTAGGAACATACTCCCAGTTACAAAAAAAAAAAAACCAGCAAACAACCACATCTAGAAAATACACAATGAGCATGTTCTAGTTACTTAAGTTAAATAAGTTTTCACTATACAAATGCATGAGTTCATTAAAAACAAAAATGTAATATTTGACGTTCTCTGCAAATGCATCAGTTTCATACAGAATAATATGGAATTAAAAATAATTAAAATATATATTAAAAAAAAGTTTAAAAAATAAATAAAAAAGTTGAGGGTTAACTCTCTTTATAACCATTTCACATCTGCGTCAAATGCAACAACTTTGTATGTTACATGTACAGCAATCAGTAGGGCCACAGTTACCGTGTTAACATATGAAGGATTATAGATTTTGGACAAATCATGCAGTCAGAATGTCACATAAGTACTTTAAACTCCTAATTTATGAGAGCAAAATTATCTTTCAATCTTTGATGATTTTTCACTAATGAATGTGTGGCTATATCTTCCTATGGTTTCTGGGACACACTAAATTGTCTCATACAAATACAATCATGGATTGTTCCCCTATGTGCTCATGAGCCAACAGATCTCAATTGTATAATATTATAAATGTGTTTGGCAGTGCAGATGTTGTGTCAGCTCAACTTAACCCATGCTTGATTTATCATGGGTTAGAAACGCATGTTACATAGCACGTACACACAAATAAATCTGGCATAGCGCGGTTCAAGAATAAAATGGTTATTCTGTATCATCCAGATATTTTATGGATATATATGGGTAAACAAAGATTCAACAAATCAATGGTCTGTGTGTTTTGTGTTATAAATGAGTGAAAGACCTTTTAATGCCTTTGAATTAATCATGTGACCTTTAAACAGCTATTTGCTTTTGAAATGTGAATACATGATTCTTTTATCAATCTAGCAGATCAGCCAGAGAACATTTAACTACTAACATTAAATATCATTAACTAATTGTTTTGAGAAAGGAGATGGTCAATAAAATACAGAGATGGTAAATAAAACACTTTATGCAGATGAATAACCAATTAAAGTCACTAAATTGGTGGCCACTTAGTGGTGATGCAAGAAATCTTATATTATGTGACATTGAGGAAATTCAGCTGAAAGAAAATGGCACACAGGATTTCATAGAAGATATTATACTCGAATGCTTTACTATCTTATTATATGATTTACTGAACAAGGTACGATCAGATCAAGAATCCCTAGTATGTGTTGTACTACTCCAGTATGAACATAGGTACCCACTGGCTATCTGTATTGCCTTCTTGAAGATATACAGTGCATTCAGAAAGTATTCACACCCCTGGATTTTTTAATTTATTTTTTACATTAATCTAAACTTAATATCTTATAATGACAAAGCAAAAAGTTATTTTTGAGAGAAGTATTCAGACCCTTTGCATGACACTTGGATTGAGCTTAGCTACATCCAATTTTTCTGGATCATCTTTGAGAGATTACTGCACTTTATTGGAGCCCACCTGTAACTTAGTTCATTAATTTGACATGATTTTGAAAAGCTTTAAATTCATTTCAGAACAAGAACCAAGCCATGTGGTCAAAGGAACAGCCTAAAGAGCTCAGAGACAGGATTGTGTTGCGGCACAGATGTGGGGAAGGCTGCAAAAATGTATTTTTTAGAAATGTGCCCGCAGTGGAGGTTCCTAAAAGAGCAGTGGCCTCCTTAATTCTTAAATGGAAGATGATTGGAACAGTCAGAACTTTTCCCAGAGCGGGCCTCCCAGCTAAACCGAGCAATTGAAAAATAAGTGTATTGATAAGATAGGTGACCAATTATCCAATGGTCATTATAAATGAGCTCTAGCGATCACAGCAACACTCCACTGATCTGGCCTTCATGGCATACTGGACAGGCAGACGCACCTCCAAGACACATGAATGCCCGCTTGGCATAAGTCTGAAAGTCCTTTGGGTGCTTTCTGGCAGTGAGAAACAAGATTCACTAGTTTGATGAAAATAACATTAAATTGTATGGTCTCAATCTAAATTATGACTAGAGCAAACCTGACACTACTCATCACTTGCTCAATAGCATTCCAGCGGTGAAGCATGGTGGTGGTAGCATCATGCTATGTGTGTGTTTTTCAGTGGCAGGGACTGGGGAGACTGGTCAAGGTTAAGGGAAAGCTGAATACAGCACAATACAGAGACACCCTTAATGTAAACCTGGTCAAGAGTGCTCAGGACCTCAAACTGGGCAAAAAAGATTCACCTTCCAACAGGATAATGCCTACAAAAGAGATGCTTAGACACAAAGTCCAAACTAATAGAGCTTGAGTTGGTCTGCAAAGACGAATGGCAGAAACAACCTAAATCCAGGTGTATAAAGCTTGTGGCATGATACCCAAATACGCCAGAGGCTCCAATCACTGCTAAAGGCAATTCAAGCATGCACCAAGTTAAGGGTCTGAATAATTATGTCAATGTGATATTTCAGTTTCTATATTTGCAATGATGTAAAAGAAACAAACAGTTTTTTGCTTTGTTATTATGGCGTCCTTAGTGTAAAGATTAATGTGAAAAACCAAAAGGTAGCCTAAAGCTACATTAGGAAAAAATAAAAAACAAAAAGGAAAAAAAAAAGGGGTTCTGAATACTTTGTGAAGGAATTGTAAAAGCTGCATGGTCATAATGTTACCAAAATGCAATACTTTTATTGAAGTTCTCTGCGTTAAGAGTGTAAATCTATCACAATAGGAATTGTAACTACAATCGGTCTGCTTTGAGTCTCTTGGGAATATCCTGCAGAACCACAGCAGTAGGATCCTTCAATATGAACGAAGAACTGAGAATGCAGGGTGACCGAATGGCCCTGTGAAATATATATATATATATATATATATAAATAGATATCTGAATAGGGAATGGTAACACGTTTACTTGTTTATTTCTCCTGATACACATAGCTCATAAAACAGCAGCTACAAGGGAACAGTAACGATTTAAAACTAGGAAAATGCATATCTTAATAGCCGAACAAGGATATGTCATAGCCGAATAGGCATTAAACCGTTCCAGCTGAATCCGAGCAATCCTACGGGCACTATGCCCTTTAAATTACTGAGAAAGTGCGGGACTTGAACAAAGGCTTGTTGGTGAATTGGATAATCAGCACTTCAATTAGAAAATACTCCACTTCAAAGAAATGGGGCGAAATCCATGCAGCAGTACTTTACAGTGAATACCGTGCAATATCATTATCATTTTTATTATTTATCCTTGCAAAGCAAATTTACATTTTCAATAACATTTCATGGTTTTGAAGAGGAAACTTTACTTTGTTGACCAAATAAATGCACAGGGGTGTTGTGTTATTAGAAATAGTCTTTAAACTAACTCGTACTGAGAAATAACATGGCTACGCATAGCTTTCATGTGAGGTGTGTGGATACTCTAGATCTGAAATCGTATGTATTGTGTAGGAGGTTAGATCTGATTATACGGATATTTGTGATCATATTTAATTCCTCAGCACCCAGTAATATTAACATAGTGAGCAGCAGATTGCTTGGTTTATTTTGTCTCTCCCTCCCCCTTCGTTCAATGTGGCGTGTTCACAGCATGTGATGTGTACTAAAAAGGCAGATTGACTATAGCGTTTACTTTTCTTGAACTATTGTTGCAGTATTAAAAAACACCGTTTATTTTTGATTAATAGCGCCACCAAGTGGGGAGAGGATGGAGGTAGTTTTTTCTTCTTTTTGAATATGGTTGTTTATTGAAATGTTTGAACTTTTTGGTTTCCAAACTATTTGAAGGTTGCCTTGGACTATCAAAGACTGTAGCTGTGCACAAAAGTCACTGTAGCTATGGAGGTAAAAAATTTTATGACCAAGTACTTATTTACAAGAATTAACGGTTTATTTTAAAGGGTTATTCCAAGCATCATGGCCATCAGAGTCTGCTGTATTGTTAATGATGCCAGTAGTACCCTGGCCCAGTTTCCTGGTAATCGGGAAAGAAAATTTGCAACCGTTTGTCCTCTTACTAGCCACTCAGGTCCTGCCGAGTGGCTAGTAATGTGCATCCGGTTTTGAAAAAGCTATTAAAACTGGAAGCCGTTTGACAGTCATTCAATGGCTGAGTGTATCAGCTGACTGCTCAGATTGCATGCAATCAAGATTAGTGAGCCTGAAGCTCTTCTACGGTGCAGGATAAGGATGCCATAATGACTGTCTGAGGTGGAGTTGAACCTCCCTCAGCTAAAGGGTTAAACTCTATATGTGCATTGTTTCATACGGACTCCAGGCACCATGACCACTGCAAATCACTAAAGTGGTCATTGTGCTTGGAGTAACTATTTAATGCTACCATAAACAAACATGTCTATAGAATAGATCTGTAATTTAATGTTGGGGTTCTAAACCAAGATGACAAAGTTTCAAAGCTTTATCCCACCAAGAACAACTGAAAAGAAATGGCAGAGAATGGAGCAGTGAGACTGCTGTCTATACTATGAAACTGCTCATTAAGTTGTTTAGTGCTTAGTGTGTCCCTTTAGCATTGATCATGCTGACCTATTGTAGCCACTTTCAAAGTGTGCATCCCACACGTGTTCAGAACACTGTATGCTTTATTTTTCTAGATTCAGCAATCTTTATACTCTGATACGGCTATGGGACTACCACACTGAACTACTTCTAGAAAGTTTAAAATATTGATTATCTCAAATGTGACCAAGAAACGGAGCTGTGCGACTTTGTATTTAAAAAGATTAAACCTTGATCATCTTAGAGTACATCTACCTTTACCAACTGCATCGCAGGCCTTCTACAATGGCACCTGTCACAGCATGTGGACCAAGGGTCCATTCTGCTGGTACTTTTCATGCCGAATCTCACTTGATCGTTTCTTATTTTTATGTCAGACTCTCCAGAGTTATATAGTTGTAGGGAACCTTTTATCACCAATTCGGTTTAATCGGCTTCTTCAGTACAATCACTCATTCTGCTCTCTAGCAAAAGTATTTGGGTACCAGAGAGAAAACAAGATATTTAGTACACTCCACTGGCATTCAAAAGGTTTGAGGTTTGAGACCAAAATGCTCAAGATCTCAACATCACAGCATAGAGAGCCACATGCCACGGGAAGTTTCTGCCTGGCTAAATGATAATAAAAATAAAATAAATGGGAAAAATAATTAAATTAAAAATATATAATGTAATAATAATATATATATTAAAAAAAATAAAAATTTAAAAGGAATAGAAAACCAAAAAAAAAATAAAATAAACAAAACAAAACAACTATATAGAGTTACCGCTGGCGATCTGACTTGTAAGTGGCTGTCAGTTCATCGAATAAGGTGCTGTTCATCTCCATAAATGCTTTTAACACGTTGTACACAAGAGCTACGATGGCCCTGCAAAGGAGAAGACGTAAGATCAGCAAGTGTTTGGTCCATGTATTCATGGATTACAGTGAAGATAATTATTCATTAAAGAAAACTGTGTGTGTTTTCAACATTTGATGTCCCTACTTTTATTTTAGGTGGGGGGTTTTTTCCTCCCCCTCAAGCTAAGATTGCCCTCAGCTCCCTGGCGACACCCTGCTAACCCGCTATCCCGCAATAAGTAGAGTGCACAATTTCACGGAAATTGTCATTTTTAGTAGTACTATAAATGCAGTTTCAAGCTCAGCCTTTAAAAAAAAAAAAAATACACATTTTATGCTGTTGATTCAAAAGAAGGAAATGGAAAAATATTTGAAATAGTTTGGGGTTGGGGGTCAATGGACGTCCAAGAAAGATTGCAGTGTAGGGAACAATAAGGACAGACTAAATAAGGGGGGTCACGTTTGAGATTTTTTTTATTAACTGTATTATTGTATGTAGAACTACATTTGACAGGGCTTGCTTTTTATGGAATAATCCCCATGATTAAGCAAAAAAATATGTTTTGTTTAACTTAATGGTTTTAATCCTTCCAATATAAATCTCAGAATGATCAACATCTTATTAGAGGAGGAGCAGTTTCCATGAGACTATGTAGTAGAGTCTTGCAACAAATAATGCCATTGATGAATCAGGTACATTTTATTAAGGATATTTGGGGATAGGTGCAAATGTTTTACAGATTTCTGGCAAATAATGTACAGGAAAGCAAATATATTTCATATTTTACATGTATCTGCATGACACCAATGCTCTTAAACACAGGATACAAGAAAGTCAACGTGTCAACCACAAACTAAAATTGGCTCATTGAAGAAACATGATAGGATCAAGAATACAAAAAAAATAAAGTGTTTAAAACACTATTTAGCACCCCAGCCCTCCCTTGCCCCCTAAATATAGTATAATCTTACGTTTATTCCAGTCTGCTGGTGCTGGTCCCACCCCAGATCCACCGCCTTGATGAGATCATCAGAATTGATAATCTCAGCCAATCCAAAGCTTCTCCTTGTAAAAATGCATTGAATCAATGCATCTTCACGGGGAAAGTTTAGCGCCTTAATGCAGAGTGTGGAGACGCTGAATGTCGGTGCACAATCCAGGAAGCACCTTTACTGTCCATCTGAATGACTACCACTAGAGGTGTTCCTAGGGAGCAATGTAAATGTACATGAAAATGCCTGCAAGGACTGACTATTTCCATATACATTAAGCTATAGTGTCCCTTTAAATGAGGCAACAGATTGGTGGAATTCTAGGAGAGGTCTAGGTGATGATGGTATAGGGGTACTGTATACTTACGGGTTCCAGTGTTCTTTGGAAATCCTATAGAGACTTGCAAACATTATGGGAAGGATTACATTGGAATTCTCTTCTATTAAACTCATGATATATTCGTTGTTCCAGTAGTATAGAGCTCTCTCTGCCACCTAGAAATAAAGTGGTAACATTTCAACATTTCCAAATCAAAAATGTGTGTGTGTATATTAAATATACCAAATACGTTCTGGTGGGAAAAAGTGTGGATAGTTAATGTAATGTTAAACACAAATATACACATCTGGCAAGCCATAAGACTTGCTTTTACCACAGAAATCTCACTGTAACTGTTCTCTCACTACTGCAAGGGAGTCTGGGATGGCGTATGCAAATGAGCTCAACAAGGAACCACATTTTTGCCTCATAATTCCATTTTATACACAGATTCCTTGGAGTATGTGTCTGCTGCATAAAACAGCTCTGAAACACAAATATATATATATATATATATATATATATATATATATATATATATATATATATATACATATACACACACACACACAAAATATTCCTGCACTCATGCTTGAATATCCCTTAGAGATCGGGTGCTAGCATGCCATGGCTAGTATTATTCATCCATCCATATCAGGCAGGAGCACTCACGTGTTAAAAGTCCAAAATTTATTATAACATAGTATAAAAACTATCAACGTTTCAGTCCTGCATAGAGGACTTTCATCAGGATAAAATTATATATATACACATACATACATACATATACACACACACACACACACACACACACACACACACACACACACAAATTTTACAAGGCAACATAAAGGACCACTATAGTGCTGCCCTGAGGGTGCCCCCACGTTCAGGGTTCCACTCCTGTGGCGCTGAAGGGGTTAATCCCTTACCCTTTTTCCAGCACCGGGCTCCCTCAGAGCTGGGACTCTCCTCCCTCTACTGATGTCATCAGCTGAATGTGCATGCGTGGCAAGAGCCGCGCGCGCATTCAGGCAGTCTCATAGGAAAGCATGCTCAATGAGACAGCCACTAGAGGCTGGATTAACCCTAAAGTAAACATAGCAGTTTCTCTGAAACTGCTATGTGTACAGGAGAAAGGGTTAATCCTAGAGGTACCTGGCACCCAGACCACTTCATTAAGCTGAAGTGGTCTGGGTGCCTATAGTGGTCCTTTAAGATCACCTATCTCTGCAAATAAATATGGGGATTAGTTCAACCATATTGCCATAGTGTGTTAAGCCCACCACTATGGTGTGCACATTCTTAAAGTGGTACAGTAGGCATTATCAAGAGTAAAATTGTCCAGTTCTGGATGGCAATCATAGACGGAGATTGCTAGGCTTTCCCCCCAGTGCTCTCCATATATCACTGACATCCAAGTCAGATCAAACCGTAGATGATAATGCAGACGTGTAAATTCCACTTTGGATATGGGTTTCCAGGAGGGCTTCAGTTTTTGTCAAAATCCTTCAAAAATATTTGACATTAATTTGGGGACTGCACTCCTTTTAATTGACAAGTCATTCAAAAACTACTGACCTGAAAGTGAGGGCTGGATACACACTTGGAGATCTGTTTAAACAAAGGTTCCTGAATTTTAACAAACTGTGAAGGTTCAATCACATCCAAAATTTCCTCCAGCTCCCCGAGGAACATGACCTAATAGAAATGGTACAGAGGGAAATACATTACTGATTAGGTTATTAACACAAAGGTAGCAGTGGAAAAACTATGCTTATCCTTGCAGATATTCAAAGAGTTAAACGGATTATTGAGGGCATCTGGGTTTATTACAGTACGATCCAAAATACCGATGCACACTTAAATAACTGCAGGTTTTTAACATTGCTTCAGTGGCCACTTAAGTGTAAGCTCACCTGCCACGTCAAGGCAAACCTTTTAGGCGAGTCCTTCACCGACAATTCACCTTGCTGCTTTTTTTCAGCTTTAGGTAAATTCTAATGAGACAGAGAGGGGTATTTTTCTAAATCCCCATATACTTATTAACCCTTAATAAGGAACACATGTGCAAGACAGCAGCACTGTAACAAGGCTGTGTAATACAAGAGCAAATACAAATAAACAAGAAGTCCTGCGCTCAAACTCCCACTACTCCTGGGCGGCAGCAACGACCATAGCACTCATCAGCCCCAATACATACAAAGAAAAGAGTTACCTGCGCACTACCCCAATCCCTATGCACATTTAAATAAATGGAAGGGACACTACTTTGTCTCAGTATATAAATTATGCTTCGGGACACTGGGCGGGCTTACCGCAGTCTAGAAGTGCCAATCTCCCAGCAGTCACCAGTGATATGGAGCATCCCACGGTCTCAATGACTAAATGCTGCACTCTTGCACATGTGCAGGAGTACAGCAGTGATACAGGCTCCAGGCGCTGCTGAAGAGGACCACCAGGAAGAAGATTGCAGAAAAGGACAGATTCCGGCAAGTAAATCTCACCTTTCCCTGCCCCCTTACCCCACTCAACCAGCGGCAATGTCGTTATCGAGGGTCTTTGCAAATTATGTCTTGTGAGGACAGTGCCGCTTTCAAAATCCAGAAATACACAGGAGGTTGGCAGTAAGCAGGTACCGGAGAGAAGGAATAGCAGCAAAGTGGTGGGTGACTGAGCTAAGGGCCTCAGAATAACCAGGCACCAATAAGGGAGGAGGAGTATGCTTTCCCAGGATTATAAATGGAAGCCACGCACCAACATCAACCATGACGAGTGTAGCCAAAGGGTTCATGACTATCTGCACCATGCCACTAGAAGTCAATTGTAATGCCAGGATATCCACAACACTGCGGCCACCCACGCCTGAGAATATCATAGACGGGGTATAAGTCTTGTTTCTATAGGCTACATTAAAGGGACACTATAGTCACCCAGACCGCTTTGTTTTCCTGACACTATAGTGATCCTTTAAGCCCTACAGCATTCTTAAAATAAGTAGTTCAAAGGCTATTAAATGTTTTTACTACACGAGGTTCTCCTCAAACTGCTTAACAAAGTACAAGCTACAAAACAAATGAAAGTGCTGGTACAAGAGGCGCCCGCTTCATACAACATACTATTGAGGTGTGTCCATCCCTTTAAATCACTTTGTTCAAAGAAATGATAAACGTGTATTGAACAGATCCTGTTAATACAGACGCAATACTCTGTGACCAGGAAACGTTCTATCTTTCAATCATTGAACGATCAGAGAAGAATTAATAAACATGTTTGTCTTCTGTATATTCAGTATTAGCTGCCACAGCACAATCTGTTCTAGAATTTCACATTTCTCCATGTTAACCACAACACCCTTGGCTGCTGTCCAATTCTCCTCTGAAAAAAGCACTTTCTGTATGAAATATAGTTTCTATGTTATTTAAAGAGTCCTACATGTTTCAAATGTTTGCTGCTCTCTTGGCTTACCTCTTTCTGACTGCACGTTTTCGGCCAGAATTTCATCAGCCCTCGAATAACCTATTAAAAGGCGAGAGCAACAAACCGTTAAAAGTCTCCTCCTACACAGCACAGGATTTCAGCCGGAGAAATTAATTGTCAACACTTACTGGTTCTGTGAGTGAAGGATCTTTTTCCAGAAACTGTACTATGCAATATGCCAACTAGAACAAAGAATAAAACGCAAAAGTAAAACATACAATTACAACAACAGACGAGATTTGTTTATTCAGCATTTGAACCTTGAAAAAAAAATAGCAAAAAGAGAATACAAAGAGTTAATATTAAAAGTTGATTTTAAACCTTTGCATAATAAGCAAGCCTCTAACATCCTATGTTTTGCTTATTACGCAGGTGTAAGACAGGGCAAGAGGTTTAAGTTATTGTGCAGGGAACCTTGGTAAAATCTAGTAGACAGGCAGCAAGAGCCACATGTGATCCTATTGACAGACATACAAGCAGTCAGCAACACGTTAAGATTGTCTGTTAAAACAAAGTAAGATGCCCATGGCAAGCACACAGAGTTAAAAATCACAGAGCAGGCTTACTTTGTAACCAAGTTGTTCTAGTGCCTTCAGTATTGGCCACCCAATTCTACCCCCCAAAACCCTTTATTAAATTAAATAGGAGGCACGGAAATGCAGTTTGAAACCACGCCTCTAAGCTCTCCGGGAATCTTACTTCCTGCCTCTCATACCATGACTTAAGTGCATGTGCAGTACCGTCACGGTCAGCCATAGAGAATTATTGAATACAATGGATGACATAACCAGAGGAGGAGGTTGCGGCACTGCCAAGGGAGACTCAGCGTTTGAGGGGGAAAAAGTAAGCAATTTCTTTTTGTTTTATTTTGGCTTTATTTTTGGACACATGGTGCGGGTCTAAATGACAAGGGACATCAGGACTGTAATGTTAGGAATACAGATAGGAACCCTAACGCTACAGTGTTCCTTTAAAAGGACTGCACAAAATAGCCCAGTAATAAAACCAAAAACAACAAAAAAATTAAAGTAAATGCAAACCTTACTATATGCATACCTGTGCGTGGAAGAGAGATAGGCTGCGGACAGTATGAAGAGGAATCAACACTTTGACGAGAAATTGTTTATGCTCAGCTTTCAGAGGCAACGCAAAACCATTGATAATACTGTTAAAGGGGAACACAAAGGATCCAGTGGTTAGTATATTTGTGAGGGTATTAAAAAAACACAAAGCGTTACTCCAACACTCTAAAAAAAATAAAATCTATTTTTTTCCATTACAAATGCTGAATTGGGCATAGCTATTATACCACCCACCATAAAACAAGGATTTAAAAAAAAAAAAACTTACCTTAACCCAGCGCCAGGCGAAGCTCCTGGCGCTGCTGTTCTAAGCTCCATCATGTTGTTGCGCGGTCGATTAGAATAATAATGAAAAGCCTGTGATTGGACCATTTCACCAGCTCAGAGCGCATGTGTGTAATCTGAGCTGGCAAGGGGAGAGTGGGTTGGATTTGCTACTTTAAAAATAGTGGGAGGAAGGGGGTCTGCAATGGGGAGGTTTTTACATCTATTGGCAGTGTGCACAAAACTGGCATTAGGCAGCCTGGAACAGAGTTCAGGCTTTCCAAAGTCAGGTGAGCCCCCAGGACACAATTGACAATAACTATGGATGTGCAGTGTTTCAAGCAAAAAAACTGCACATCCAGACTGCTCCCACCATAACCACTTTAAATCACTGAAGTGGTCGTGGTGGCTGGAGTAAAGTTTTAATAAAAATGCTTATTTCATAGTCAAAAAAAAAAAGAAGCAGCTTATTTTAAAGAACAATTTCTGGTGTTAATTGGGAGGCAGCAAATAAAATTATCTCAAGTTAGCTTAGAAATAAGGGTGTGTATGACAATAGCAATAGTTATAGCATTATGCTAGTTAATTGCTTCGTTTGTACAATAATTACTGTTCTTACCTTCCTAATATTTCCAGCAATTCCGCTACACCATTAAAGTGTTCAGTTTCATAAACAAACCTACAAAATAAAGTAGAAGCCATTAGAAGCGTACCATATAAGTGGAACTTCGGATTCACAACATCTTATAACAAAGTGTTATCAAAATCAACAGTCACCATGGCTTTTCCAAAACAATAAAAACTAAACTGTGTAGAAACGATTACTTCTACTGAAAAAAAAAGTTTCGCTATTCACAGACATTGCAAAATTAGAAATGCCCTATCTGCATCAGCTATATTAATTTTATTCCCATTAGGACCCAATTCACTGGCTAAAAGCGTCAGTGGATGGAAATATTGCCAATGAAGAAAAAGAACTTACTTTATGGATATCTGCTCAGATTCTTACACAGAAATATACAGAAAAATGTGCTCAAAAGGTTTACAAAATATTTACAACCCCCCCCCCACTCCAATAAAACCAAAACAATACACCCCCATAAGAAGATGGACAATTATTTTTCAAGTTCGTGAAAAAGCAGAATCATGGGCAGTTAACCAGCAGAGGCAGTTGAAAACTTTATTGAGCTGAAAATGTTCCCCACTTTGAGCTGCCATTTCGACCACCAAGACCACCAAACCCCACCTGTCAACTCACCAGCAGCCATAACTCCACAGCCCAGAGACTATTGATAAACTCAACAGAACTGGCATGTCGGTGGGTTTTAATCCCCAGTGAGGAGAACATGTGGTGGCTTGATTGGCTGGTCAATGCCCTGCAGGGCACCCACTGCATACTTATGTAATAATGCTGGGTAACTGCCCATCAGCAAAGCAGCCAAAAATTCCCATATTTCATTAGAAGATTCAACCACAATCCCTTCAAACTGAACCACAGGCTACTGCTACTTAATTTATCATAAACAGAGTGAACTTACCGTAGAAAAATATTGTTAATCTGTTTTCGAATAAATGCTCTAAGTCCAAGAAACTTTCCATAAATTCTGTGCAAGACTGTTTTTAAATAGTCTCTTTCACGGGGGTCTTCACTGTCAAATAGCTCTAAAAGCTATGGAGAAAAGGGGGGAAAATGAAATTACTTCAATAAAAAAAAAAAAAAAGACTCCATAATACAGAATGCAATAGTTTGCAATGAGTTTCTTTATCTATACTCTGAATGTATGAAATGATTCAGTATTAAGACTTCAGCAGCATTTGGGTGCCCCTAATCTAAAAGAGAAACCACGTAGAACACAACAGCTAGAGGGCTATTTTAATAATGCTTCACCTCACAAACATCTGGAGCAACATAATAAGTCTAATGAATATCTGGAGCAATGTGATAATAAATAATAGTAGACAGAATAGAAGACAGCCTCTGGTGGTGCATTATAATAATACTGTGATGTTATTTAGAAGCCAACGTGTATTAAACGTACTCTTGTGCAACATATTGCCAAAGTATATTCGAGGTGTTCTGCCAATGATCATGAGGGTTACTCAAATCCAGTTTCTAAAGCGAGACAGAGAACTGCAATTATTTCAAGATATTTTGAAGCATGACAACCAGTGATACACAGTGAGCTGCTTCAATAGGAGTTACTTAAAAATGTGATCAAATGCGGATAGGATTGCAGCCTTAGGTGACATATTAACACTAAATGGGTGTTTTCAGATACGTTTACTGTCAGACTATTGTAAATACCCTCTTTTGGCACAGAGTCGAGAAGGTTTCTGACTCCTGCTTCTACTGAATGAAATGAAAGGCTAAATTTCAGAGTGAACATGGCAGAGAGTCCCCTCCTCCGGACACGGACTTGGCTATGAAACCAGGAGACTCCTCATCTTACCAAGGTGTTTGTCCCTGAATAGAAACCTGGAGAGAGCAAATACAGGGCCCGACCAATTAACGCAGAAACCAAAAACAAAGCTAAATCCACGTGTTCCCTTACACCGTATGGAAAAGGAATTCAACAAAAAATTATGTTAAGTCCTTCAAAGGACGAACAAAAATGACAAATAAAAAGCAGAAGAAAAAAAGAAAAGAAAATATTTATCAGAAGTCACACTTTCTTTTTTTTCCTTAAAGGAACACTATAGTGTCAAAAATACAAACATGTATTCCTGAGACTGTAGTGTTAAAAATCACAGTTTAGGTGTCCAGCCTCCATTTCAAAAGGTATTTTACTTCCCTTTTTCCAGTGTCGCGGCTGGCCCAGCCTCATCTCAACTCCGTGGCTGAGATCAAATTCAATGCTTTCACATAGGAAAGCATTGGGCGGCCAGTGTGTGTGTGTGTGTGTGTGTGACCATTCCACTTTAAGACACATTTTATTGTAGCTGGGAAGAACTTGTGGGCTTTCTCTGTAGGACCCAGCAGAATTGTGCAGGGCAGTGATATGAATATTCATATCACTGCCCTGCACAATTCTGCTGGGTCCTACAGAGAAAGCCCACAAGTTCTTCCCAGCTACAATAAAATGTGTCTTAAAGTGGAATGGTCACTTCCCAGAATTTTCGATATTAGGTTTACGTATCCACTATATTTAAGAGATGTTCTTGAGGAGTAGAAATTGACGCCTCTTATCCTGTAACTTGGCGCCTCAATCTTATGTACCAGTCAATCACGTTTATAAGCTCTGTCCTTTGCACCTCACAGTCAGCATAGAAGAGGAGAAATTAAACAATATATCTATATCTCCTCTTCATTTCCATTGTATGCCACAGCTGTGTCTGGACAGAATTGGATTGTGATGGCATTTGCTAAATTGTTAATTTAAATATTAAGACAGAATGAAGCATCAGTTGGGAGAAGAAGAAAAAAAAAAAAAAAAAATAAGATTTGACAGAAGTTATAAATGATTTTAACCCCTTAAGGACACATGACATGTGTGACATGTCATGATTCCCTTTTATTCCAGAAGTTTGGTCCTTAAGGGGTTAAATGACCACTATAGTGCCAGGAAAACACACTCTTTTTCCTGGCATTATAGTGCCCTGAGGGTGCCCCCACCCTCAGGTCCCACTCCCGTGGCGCTGAGGGGGGGAGGAAGGGGTTAATCCCTTAACTTTTTTCCAGCGCCAGGCTCCCTCAGCGCTGGGACTCTCCTCCCTCTTCTGACGTCCCTGGCTGAATGCACATGCGCGGCAAGAGCATTCTCAATGCTTTCCTATGGACGTGGGTCTTCTCACTGTGAAAAATCACAGTGAGAAGCGCGGAAGCGCCTCTAGCGGCTGTCAATGAGACAGCCACTAGAGGCTGGATTAACCTATAGTTAAACATAGCAGTTTCTCTGAAACTGCTATGTTAACAGCAGAAATGGTTAACCCTAGCTGGACCAGGCACCCAGACCACTTCATTAAGCTGAAGTGGTCTGGGTGCCTATAGTGGTCCTTTAATGGTTTTATTCAATGCAATATCCAGAGAGGCAATGCTTTCCCTTTAAGGTCTAATTACGATCACTGCTCAAAGTAAAAGATTTGGTAGAAGTCAGTTTGACCCATGGATTATCTGAGGCTTGTGATGCTGCCCGACACTTTGTGGGTCATTCCATAAGTGATTAGGAATGTATTATATTTTCAGTAACCGTGTTGTAACGTGTGGTAGAACATCACGTTTGCCACATTGTAAGGAGAGAAGCAGCACTAAGAAAAATGCAAGACACCTTAAAGGGACACTATAGTCACCAGAACACCTACAGCTTATTGTATTTGTTCTGGTGAGAAGAATCGTTCCCTTAAGGCTTTTTGCTGTAAACACTGTCTTTTCAGAGAAAATGCAGTGTTTACGTAACAGCCTAGGGATAACTCCACTGGCCACTCCTCATATGGCTAGAGGTGCTTCCTGATGCAGTGCTGCATGCTGCATGGAGACACTGAACTTTCCTTATAGATATGCATTGAATCAATGCAACTCTATGAAGAGATGCTGACTGGCCAGGGTGACATTTGGCTCTGCCCCCTTGGTCCACCTCCTAGGCTGAGATCATCAGAATTAACAGTCTCAGCTAACCCAAAGCTTCCCTATGGGACCAATGGGGTAGATAGTGTTAAGGTAATTTTACTTCCAGGATGATCTGATGATATGATGAAAAGGGTGTTTGCTAGCTCGTGGTAGTAAATATGTTTTTAAATTGCAGTCAGTCTGTTCTGTGGCACAGGAAAAAACCCCAAAATAAAACAGTCAATTAAGATGTTTTCACCTGTTAAAGACAAGTTTGATTGGTGGAAAAGTAAGAAGAGATCATTCAAGTGTGCTGCCTTAGGGAGGTGTACAAAGGTAGCAGCCATTGTAAACTAGAGGCAGAAAATGGCTAAAAAAATCATAAATATTTAAAGAATGTGAAATGTTTGACAGATTGCTCAAAATGTCTCTTTGTTAAAAAATAAATAAATCATTGACTAACAATGTTTAGACAATAAGCAGAGCAACCTTTTAGAGAGAGACAGAATCCAGCTATGTTTTCAAATGTCTTATCAATATTTAAAATCACATTGAAAACATTGTGAGGGGATTTAGATTGCCTCTTACACAGGTTTCTCCATGCCTCCTGGATTAACTGAATACAAAAGGTAGAGTATACAGTCATGCACAGAGTTGTAAATTTATTAAAAGACCACTATACAGCTCAATGAATTGGTATCGGTGCAGAGGTCATGTCATTTTAACACTTCAAGGTAAAAAACACTGATATTTTGTATAAAAGTACAATGCTTATCTTGAAGAGGGTTAAACATGCCTCTAGTAGCCATCATACTGACTGCACTGAGTAAAATGTAATCACATTACTTGGAAACTTAATTCGCCTTTCCAATGACAATGAGAGGTGAGCAGACCGAGGGAGTCTAAGAATTTTGACTTTATTAATTTGTATTGCTCTATAGTGCTCCTTTCACAAATCAATGTGGGCCACCCTAATTGGAATTATACTTGCAGCCACTTACACATCTGGTCAGCTAAAAGACTAATTAATTGTCCAAGTCTAGCAGACTTCCTTAAAAAAAATAAAAAATAATAATAATAAATAATAAAATATATATATATATATATATATAAATATAAATAAAAATAAAAAGTTTTTATTGCAACGCTTATAAAATACTTACCATTTAAAAAAATAAATAAATTAAGTTCTGTATAATGATATACATAGCCTGGTCATTATGCAAAGGGTACATTAGCACTGTTACTATTAATACTACAGTATGGAATAGCTTGGTTGCTTCATCAAATTCAGGGGTGCTCAAACTTCGGGCCCCCAGATGTTGCTGAACTACAACACCCATGATTCTTTGAATTACATAGATAGCCAGAGAATCATGGGCGTTGTAGTTCAGCAACATCTGGGGGGCCGGAGTTTGAGGACCCCTGATCTAAGTGCTGCTTCTAAGTGTGTGGTTGGAGATATTCTGGAGAGTGCTGCTTCTAAGTGTGTGGCTGGAGATAAACTGGAGGTAATCTGAGGTATTCAGGAGGACATTTTTTAATATTTGTTTGATTTAAATTATTCACCTCATTGAATTGGCAGACTTAGTTCAGAGTAATAGTTGTCATGCATTTGCTTCACGTTACACTTTTTTGAGATTTGGATGCGGTCTAATCTGTAGACAGTTCTCTATATTGCAGCAGGAGATTGTATTTTTGAAGTCTCAGATTTGTAAATTATCTGGTAAACAAACTCAGGCTGGAACTACTTCAAAGCCACTGCCGCAGAGACGTCCTAGGAATGGCAGATGGATTACTGTAGGATCTGGTAGACTTAGACTGTGCAATATGCCTTTTATCCTCAACTCTGTTACTCTACATAATTCATTTTCTGCCCTTTCAGAGTGTAATGGTGTTATGGAGACAGGCTCAGGTACTGAGGATAGTGGTGTTATGGAGACAGGCACTGAGTGTAGTGGTGTTGTGGAGACAGGCTCAGGCACTGAGTGTAGTGGTGTTGTGGAGACAGGCTCAGACACTGAGAGTAGTGTTGTTGTGGAGACAGGCTCAGGCACTGAGGGTAGTGGTGTTGTGGAGACAGGCTCAGGCACTGAGGGTAGTGGTGTTGTGGAGACAGGCTCAGGCACTGAGGGTAGTGGTGTTGTGGAGACAGGCTCAGGCACTGAGGGTAGTGGTGTTGTGGAGACAGGCTCAGGCACTGAGGGTAGTGGTGTTGTGGAGACAGGCTTGGAGACTGTGGTGAGGCCTAATAGAAAGCAGTTGTTGTTGGGGATTCCATCATAAGAGGTATGGAGATGGACAATGGTGGTCTTGTGAGGTGACTTTCCGGAGCTACTGCTCACAGAGACAGGAGACGTATTTGTAATAATGTTAAGCGAGCAAAGCAGGAAGTGGAATTGGATGTACTTGTCCATCTAGGGACAAATGACTTGGCTTGCAATTAGGTTTCAGAGGTTAAGGAAGTTTTTAGAGTTTTTGCCAATGATATACGGCAGGTTGCTTCCACACTGTCATTCTCTGAAGTTCTGCCTGTGCATAACACTCAGAACGACAGGCGGATGTGTATTAGGGACTTTAATTTGTGGCTTGGTGAATGGTGTAGGGAGCAAGGATTTGGCTTTATTTCTCATGGTAGCTCTGTTCGGAATGGAAATAACCTGTACAAAAAAGATGGTTTGCATCTTTCTCAAAATGGAACAAATGTTCTCAGTGAGCAGTTCAGAGGTTTTGCTAGGATGTATTTAAACTAGGAGTGGGGGTCAAAAGGGTGATAAAACATCAATCCAATTGCCCCCCAAAACAAGGACTGATGGTGCCTTTAGCAAGTGTGTTAAAAAAGGATAAGCTTAGAGTCATGTCTACAAATGCTCGCGGTTTAGGGAATAAGATCCATGAACTTGTGGCAATAATGGCAACTGATAGTTTAGATTAAGTCGCTGTTACGGAGACATGGTATAATGAGGAAAATGACTGGGACAAAGCAATACCAGGGTACTCTTTATATAGAAAAGACAGGGAAGGCAAGAAAGGGGGAGGGGTGGCCCTGTATGTGAAGGATAGCATAAAATCTAGCCTAATAAAAGTTAGTGAGGCGAACATAGAGTCCGTTTGGGTTACGTTAGAATTTGGTAATCACACATGTAGGTGTGATTTATAGGCCCCCAGGACAAACAGAAGAGTTAGATAATCAACTAGTTAAGGAAATAGCTAAAATGACAATGAAGGGGGAAGTTATCATCATGGGTGACTTTAATCTTCCTGATGTAAATTGGAAAACAAAATTAGCTACTTGTACCAGGAGCACACATATTCTAAACTCCCTACTGGGATTGTCTCTAAAAACAAGTCTTTGAGGAGCCAACTCGTAAGGAGGCCATACTAGATTTAGTGTTAACAAATGGAGATTTGGTATCAGATATTACTGTAGGTGAAAGTTTAGGATCCAGTGATCATTAGTCAGTGTGGTTTAATATAAGAACAGTGACTGAGTCACATCACACAAAAACAAAAGTTTTAGACTTTAGAAAAACAGACTTTTCTAAAATTAGAATATGTGTAAAGGAGTCGTTATCAAATTGGAGCAATTTAAGTGGAGTCCAAGAGAAATGGGATTATTTAAAAGTTGCACTGCTGAAGGCAACAGAAAATTGCATTAGGCTTGTCAGTAAAAGCAAAAAAGTCAAGAAACCACTGTGGTATTTCGCAAATGTGGCCAAAATAGTAAAAAACTAAAAGTTAGCATTTAGTAATTATAAAAATACCAAGAGTGAGGAAGACTCTATAAGAAGAAGAATGCTGTATAAGATTAGGCAGAAAGAGGCTAAGCAAGTTAGAAGAGCTTCCAAATCAAACAAAGAAGAGAAATAGCACAGTCAGTAAAAAAAAAAGGGGGTGGGGGGAAACAAAAAAACTTTTTTTAGATATATAAATGAGAAAAGGAAAGTAAAACAAGGATTAGTTAGATTAAAAACAAAAGGAAGGAAGGTATGTAGAAGAGGATAAAGGTCTAGCTGATTGCCTCAATGATTATTTTTGTTCAGTATATACAGATGAAAATCTGAAGAAAAGGCACCTCAGTTGGGAAAAAGGACAAATGAGTTATATATTACATGTGAGTTTACAGAGGAAGAGGTTCTATTTCAACTGTCAAAAGTAAAGACAAATAAGTCAATGGGACCTGATGGAATACACCCAAAGCTATTAAAAGAGCTTAGTGGTGTACTAGCAAAACCATTAACAGATTTATTTAACCAATCATTGTTAACAGGAGTAGTCCCAGAAGATTGGAAGTTAGCGAATGTTGTGCCCATTTACAAGAAAGGTAATAGGGAGGAGTCGGGCAACTATAGGCCAGTAAGCCTTACTTCAGTAGTGGGGAAAGTGATGGAAACCATGTTAAAGGATAGGATTGTTGAACATCTAAAAACACATGGATTTCAAGATCAGAGACAACATGGGTTTACTTCAGGGAGATCATGCCAAACTAATCTTATTGATTTTTTTGATTGGGTAACTAAAATTATAGATCAGGGTGGTGCAGTAGACATTGCTTACCTAGATTTCAGTAAGGCTTTTGACACTGTTGCACATAGAAGGCTTATCAATAAACTGCAATCTAAGTTTGGATTCCAATATTGTTGAATGGGTAAGGCAGTGGCTGAGTGACAGGCAACAGAGGGTTGTAGTCAATATATTCGAAGCTTGGGCTTGGCACCAGTGGGGTACCTCAGAGATCTGTACTTGGACCCATTCTCTTTAATATTTTATTAGTGATATTGCAGAAGGACTTGATGGTATGGTATGTCTTTTTGATGTTCCAGGAGGGATAAGAAAAATGGCAAATGATTTACGTAAACTAGAAAAATGGTGGTCAGAGTTGTGGCAACTGACATTTAATGTGGATAAGTGCAAGATAATGCATTTTGGACGTAAAAACCCAAGGGCAGAGTACAGAATATTTGATAGAGTCCTAAACTCAACATCTGAGGAAAGGGATTTAGGGGTGATTATATCTGATGACAAAGGTAGGCAGACAATGTAATAGAGCAGCAGAATGCTTGGTTGTATAGGGAGAGGTATTAGCAGTAGAAAGAGGAAGTGCTCATGCCATTGTACAGAACACTGGTGAGACCTCTCTTGGAGTATTGTACACAGTACTGGAGACCGTATCTTCAGAAGGATATTGATACCTTAGAGAGGGTTCAGAGAAGGGCTACTAAACTGGTTCATGGATTGCGGGATAAAACTTACCAGGAAAGGTTAAAGGATCTTAACATGTATAGCTTGGAGGAAAGACGAGACAGGAGGGGATATGATAGAAACATTTAAACACATAAAGGGAATCAACACAATAAAGGAGACCACCATATTTAAAAGAAGAAAAACTGCCACAACAAGAGGGCAGAGTCTTAAATTAGAGGGACAAAGGTTTAAAAATAATATCAGGAAGTATTACTTTACTGAGAGGGTAGTGGATGCATGGAATAGCCTTCCAGCTGAAGTGGTAGAGGTTAACACAGTAAAGGAGTTTAAGCATGCATGGGATAGGCATAAGGCTATCCTAACTATAGGATAAGGCCAGGGACTAATGAAAGTATTTAGAAAATTGGGCAGACTAGATGGGCCGAATGGTTCTTATCTGCCGTCACATTATATGTTTCTATGAATACCAAATTCACAGATATAGCACAAGTCAGTTGTGCTCACTAGATGGCGATAAAGTTCATGTCTATAGAGTAAGACTAGCGTCAAACAAGCTGAATGGATGTTGGAGGAGGGAGGGAGGGGATTTCCTAGAAGGGATTGTGACAAGCAGTCAATACCTTGGGAGTCAGGATATCCTAATACACTGTCACTACTAATAACCACAGACTACCAACCTGCACTCTGTTGACTTGCACATATAAATGACTACTTTTTAAAATATATGATCTTTTGTTTTTACATCTGAAAGTTAAGACAAAAGCAAATTAGCAAAAAAAAAAAAAAGTCAGTCCGTCACACCTCAAAGCCGTTTTAAAAGATACTGGTATAATTATTGCTGAAATTCACCTACGGCATAAAAGAGTTTACTTTCCTTGTTAGCACGCTTTGCAATTGTGGGAAACAAACGTTTCAGCGATGAACATCTCCTTGGGGTTTTAAAAATAAATCTGTAAGGTTATTTATAAGATGTTGGCTGAAGCATTTGCATAATTTACATGCTTATTATAGCTCACTATGTTAAGTAAAACTAGCAACCGGAGTCAGTGCTAGTCCATTTATATTCTCCATGAGAATAGAGATTCTAAATATATTTGTTTCTTAGCAACACAATCCTTTTAGATTACATTTTCTGCAAACTATATGCAGCAGGAGGAAAGAAAGCGAATTTCACCTGTCCCATATTGTTCAGGGAGACCATCAATTATTTTACACCTCGCAAGTCCATGGAAAAAAAAACCAAGCACTGGGAAGGAGAACTTGGACTGTGGAAGGACGCTGCACAGGGTTTTCTAATAAGAAAAGAGGTGCTCAGCTGGCATTAAACCTAATGAAAAGGGTTTAACCCATGTTACCACCTACTAGACCATAATTACTTACCTATGAGGACCAGTTTTACAAGCAGGAAAGAAGGAAGCAGTAAGAGATTTGCCAATAACCAAACAACTAAGCTGTCAAACTGGAATTCTCAATTGGGGAGTAAAGACATGTCACAGCTAAAGACCTATTTCACGACACATCAAATATAGAGACAAACGTAATGAACAAGTTAAAGCAGACCTGTGAGTTTGGAGTGCTTAATCATATTGCTTCTTCATGGAGAATTGCCTCTCTGCTAGGTGTATATCCACGTACAAAGAACTAGATGCATGCATTTTTCCATTGCTCAGTTTTGAGGGGGGGCAGCAAAAAAGGCAGAGAATCTAGCGGATTGTGCAAATAAATATTAATTACTGAGGTCTTTCAATTCCCTTACACAGTGTGGCGATATCAGCCTTGCCACTGGGCATTGGAAAAAGACTGATTGCCAGCCTCCTGCCATGTGACTATGGCCCCTGGGATGTATTGCCTGTTCTCCTGTACAGCTGAAGATTGCTACCAACTAGGTGTATTTGGCTATGGAGCTTGTGTAGTGCCCTCTGTTGGTAGCAACAGTAATATGCACTACCTGAATAGCAAGACTGGTGATTTGCATATCGCTAATTCTGCATGTAGGAGAGACATTGTGTTAATTATGGTCTTCCCCACCCATTTATAAATATGTAATTATGTTATAATAAGTCACTGTATGTTGCCTGCTATGATTTGACTGATTGTAATTTTATTGAGTTTACACAGCAATGTTAATGTAATGACCATATGGGCTAGTCCCAAGTAAAATAAAGTTTTAGACAGTACTACTTCACTCTCAACTTGGAGTCCTTTCTCTTATTGAGAAATCTGCTACAAGGGATTGCTATGCTCTGCATATTTCCTTGCTATAATCACTCATAAGCTCTTTTAAGAGCTTGTTCCTGCGTCGCTCTGAAGGAAGAGAGGTTTGGCCTGTGGTGGTGGCTAGAGTACTTGGAATCCTCAAGAATCGCTAGGAGCATCCATCAATGGAGGTACCCAATCGGGGTGCCAGGTGATCCGTTACACACAGATTTTAATTCTAATCACTGAACAGGCTTTGCATGTGGCCATTTTGGTATGCAGAAAATGCACACAAGTGTACAGATCTCCCCATGAAATTTATAAGACAACCAGGAATGGCTGAAGGCTTTTTGCCAGTTCCTGGTTTAAAGGGACACTATAGTCACCAGAACAACTGCAGCTTATTAAATTTGTTCTGGTGAGTAGAATCATTACCTTCTGGCTTTTTGCTGTAAACATGGTCTTTTCAGAGAAAATGCAGTGTTTACATTACAGCCTAGTGATAACTTCACTGGCCACTCCTTAGATGGCTGTCAGAGATCCTTCCTGGGTCATGACTGCCTAAAATGCATCCAAACATTCAGTATCTCCTCCCTCTGCATGCAGACACTGAGCTTTCCTAATAGAGATTCATTGATTCAATTCATCTCTATGAGGAGATGCTGATTGGCCAGGGCTGTGTTTGAATCATGCTGGCTCTGCCCCTGATCTGCCTCTTTGTCAGTCTCAGCCAATCCTATGGGGAAGCATTGTGATTGGATCAGGCCACCACTTCTGATGTCAGAGGAAGTTCACAAACAGATTTAGCAGCTTCAGACTTGAATACAAGTAAGATTTTACTATATTTATGGAGGCAAACGGGGCTAGATAGTGGTTTTAAAACTATAGGGTCAGGAATACATGTTTGTGTTCCTGACCCTATAGTGATCCTTTAACCAACCAATCTTTTTGAAGGAAGGAAGTTGCTTTGCCTATGTTTGCTATCATATTCGGGAATTGGTAGAACTTCAATGGGCTGGCTGATTTTACTTAAAGGACAGTTGTCATCTAAAAACTATTTTTAATATAATAATCCTTTCATCAAGATTAAAAGGAAAAAAAATTTGTGTTTGTTTTTTAAAGGCAGTATAACTAAACAAAATGAGAAAAACTTTATATGACAGGATCCTTCAGCTATATAGATACACCTTGGGGCAGACAGGGTTTGAAAACCAAGTTAGTCTCTATGGTCCTTCTGGCTTCACTCTCTCCACAGAAGCAGGGCAGACCATAGAGACGAATTGACTGTTTTCAAATACTGTCTGACACAAGGATCCCATCTTATACTAAAAGGTAGAGGATGGGTTTGTCTCGTCAAAAAACCTATTTCCTTTCAAAACTTGATTAAAGAATTACTATAAAAAATAGTGCAATAGCTATCCTTTAATGAAATTATGGTATAATTCTCAATGGGCAACTCTCCAAGAAAATCCAAATGCAGTGCCACTGATATATTGTGCAGGTTGACAAAGTAAAAGGAAAGCAAAAGTCTCAAGCACTTATGTGAGACAGAGACACACACACCAGTTTATAGCAATCCGCGATGCATGAAGAATGCTGGGAAATGTTCTAATAGTGTTGCAGATGATGGAAGATCCATATAACCTTGGGAAATGCAAGCATATACTTTAATTACATAGATGTACCTGTTGACATAATGTTCTTTTGAAAAGAACTCCTAATGGCAGGTGTGTAAAATATAATGGTTGGGTTGGTCACATCACCACAACAATTATGTGAGTTCTGCCTCGGTTGGAGTCCCCCATGGTTCTGTCCTTGGTCCCCTTCTATTTTCTCTTTATACTGCCTCTCTTGGCAAATTTATTACCTATTTTGGATTCCACTACCACTTGTATGCTGATAACACCCAGATATAACTCTCCTCCCCGGACCTCTTCACCTGCTGTCCTGCAACGTGACACAGCTTGCCATTCTTCCATCTCTGACTGGATGTCCTCTCTCTAAAACGGAGCTCCTTTTCTTTCCTCCTCCTAATACTGATCCTCCTCTTTCACTCTCCATTTAAGTTAGTGGTATCCACATAAGTCCGTCCTTGCAAGCGCGCTGTCTCGGCATCATACTGGATTCTGGCCTCGCCTTTGAGCCTCACATCCAGTATGTTGCCAAATTTTATAGATTCCATCTTTAAAAAAAAAACAAAAAAACATAGCCAGCATCCACCCCTTTCTTACGCAAGATGCTACCAAGGAACTTGTCCATGCTCTAGTCATTTCCCGCATGGATTATTGTAACCCTCTCCTAATTGGTCTTCCCAAATGACGTATTGCCCTGCTACATTCTGTAATGAATGCTGCCGCCAGACTGATTTTCCTCTCTAGTCAGTCCTCTCACACCTCAGTCCTTCTATTGGCTTCCTGTATCCTATAGGAGTCAATTCAAAGTGCTAACCCATACCTATAAAGCACTGAACAATTCTAGCCCCTCATATCTCTTCTCGGTCTCTCAGCTCTGCCTGTGACCTTCTCCTGTCCACTGCTCGCACCCGAACGGCCAACTCACGCTTGCAGGACTTCGCACGGGGGGTGTTCCCTCCTATGGAATAGCCTGCCTGCCACCATCAGACTCTTCCCTAGACTTCAATTGTCTAAGAAGTGCCTTAAAACCCATCTCTTTAGGAAAGCTTATGGCCTACCAGAGTAACATTTACCTCACATATCGGACTCTTGCTCTCTGCTAAAGGGCAGCACCTTACCCTCTCCTCCAGCTCTGCTTCACGCCCACCTTGATTGCCATTTTCTAAGCTTGTTTGAGCAGGGTCCTCTTCAACCTATCGTTCCTGTAAGATTTCTTGTAATTGTCCCATTTATAGTTAAATCCCCCCTCTCATAATATTGTAAAGCGCTACAGAATCTGTTGGCGCTATATAAATGGCAATAATAATAATAATAAACAACCATCAAGCAAACTGAAACAGACTGCAGATTTCCAGACAAAATCGACTTTATACAAAAAATAAATTGGAAATTGCACATAGTTAACATGTACATAAGGTTAGACATGTAATGTATTATTAGACCTGTGCATTCGGTTTCAAATGAATTGCAAATTGTCTGAATTATTGGGCAATCAGCAGCTGGTCCAAATTCTGTAACTCTAATGCCTAATTTGCATGTATCACGAAAGAATTGAAAAGGACAATGGATGACAAGTGTCATTTCATTAATAATTTCTGTGTTCCACCATGGCGCAAAAAATAAATTTAAAAAAAAAATATTGCTGAAAAAAAATAATAATGATTTTTAGGGCCACTAAATGTTTATTTTATTTACATGTATTGTATAAATATATATTTTACAGCCTTTTTTCCCTCTCTATTGGTTACTTCTCACTTGATTTATTAACCAATGGTGGTTGCGGGGGGAGAGGGAGTACACAAACTGGCCCATTTTCTTGCCCACATCATTCTTCCTGAAATGTTTCTATGGACAAAATTTGGATGAGCTGAAATGCCACAATAATGAAATTTGGTTTGCCGGAGCAAAAATAAATTAAACAAACATTTCTAGACGATTCAGCTGAGCTGAATTCTTACACAGTGTACTAGTGTTATTGTCAAGAACAAAATTAAGTGTTTTACTTTAAAACAGTGATTGTGGAATACAAATTTTAGTTTGTACAGATGACAATAACTTTAGAAGAGTGAACTTACCTGTAATACAAATTTTTGATCTATGTACTTTTTGGCAATGCTGGGTTGAAATTCTTGGCTTTCCAAAAATCGTATGAAAAATTCATATACAAGCTGAAAGAAACAGATGGGGGAGAACATCTATCTTTATCCTGTGGTCACTTGTAAAAACACAAAGAAACTGAAAGTATATTAAAAATGATAACATTATGGTACCATTGACAATAAGGCAGCGAGTACTGAGGGGGAAAAGAACATCACAAATCACTGCAAACGAATTCTTACAGAAAAGGCTAGTTTAGATACTTAGTAATTTTGGCCCCAAGGGGACAACACATTTTGCACGATTTTGGCTTGTGTTGTATGGTTAAAGTAACATTGCCTGAGAGCATCATGATACAAGTTTGTATTCCCAACGCTACAATCTAATGCTACCCCAGCCTTAGCAGAACTGGATCCAGGAAGTCCCTCTATTGGCTGTCCGAAGGACAGCGACTAGAGAGGAGCTTAGGCAGCCGTGTTTACACTGCTCTACCTGTAGGGGCATGATCTAAACATCAAAACCAATACACTAACTTCTAGTGCTTCTGGTGCCCACAGTGTCTCTTTAAATAACAGTTGTGGAAACACTACAGACCAATGTGCAAGAACGCAGTTTTGCAATTTTATAAGTGTTTTTTTAATCTCTAGAGCAAAACAGACAGTGGGTATCCCACAAAAATAAAAGTTTAGTATTACAGAACTAAATCAAATTAACTTTTCCATTGCTACTGCAACCAAGGAACCTCCAATAGTGCTGCAAAAGCATATAAAAACAGCAACACATGTTTTCTACAGGTTCATACATTTAACTTAGTCTGCTAAATAGACAATTAGAAAACAACAACAACTTTGGAGATTTGGGCATGATAACCACATAAAGACAAAAGCAAAACTATTTAATAATTTTACCAAGTGCTTCAGCTCACTGGATTCCCCCACATCTTGAATGTTTCACCAAGTTTTGAGGGTGGGTTGATGGGGTTTGCAGACCTACTACAAGTCACCCGGACTGGGTGATCTATTACCACGGTATAGCAAACTAAAACCATGGCATATTGTTACATAATGTAATCAGGTTCAGCTAAAAGTAAACGTTTAGGATGCAATAACAGTGTATAAAGGAGCAATTGGTGCAGAGCAGGACTAACCCTGCAGCCACATAGGGCCAAGAGGTTGTAGAGGGGCCCTGAAAACATGCATTTGCTTGGCCTAAATAACCATTCCTATATGAAGAATGAACGGGTAAGGGGTGAAATGGTTAACGTGCCCATTGGGATCTTATTTCATTTCTGTATTTGAGAATAAACGGATCTAAAGTAAGGAAGCATAACCCATATACCACGTTTCACAACACGCAATTACTCAACTTTTCTTATTTTTCATATTGTAGCCAGTATCTTAAAAAGGATATAGTTTTATGAATATTGGCATTCATACAGTGCGATGCCATGGCTACAGGAAGCATACTACATACAATAACGTAGTTAATTCATTCATAGATACTAGACCGTAAACAAATTCCATTACCTGTAAATGTGGCCATGAAGCCTCAAGCGTGGGTTCATCTTCCTCTGGATCAAACTCGTTGCTGTCACTAGGTGGGAGAGTTCTAAATATATTGCACGAGACCTTGAATAAAAAAAAATATATATATAAAAAAAATAAAAAATAAAAAATAAGAAAGGATAAAAACACGGTGAGCAAAATCCTGGCAAACAATCTTTTCTGGGTGTAAAGTGGTATGACAAATCCAGAAGGGATGCCACCATTGAAGCAGTGCACTTCAATCAGCAGTGGTTATGGTGCTTGGATTGTCACTTTAATGTAATCAATAAATTTACTACAAGCTTTCAACGAGGGGATATTGCAAATCACACTAAATCAGATGCATCAGAAAACAGCCAACCATAAATCTGTAAAGCATTGAGCATAATTTATAGCTTTACACTTACGTTTCATATTAAGATTTAAAAATATTAACACATTTGCAATTTGTTACAACTTTTGCTTACGTTACCAATATGTTGTATTTACAACGCTACATCAAGTGTTCTGAAAATTCTCTTTATGGTGTATAAAATTGCCTGTTTACGATCTGATAAAATTAGAATGATACATCTGCCCTCTATCACATAAAATGAAACTAAACGGGCTAGTTACTAAACTGAGCATTCACAGTGTATTTAAGGTGAATTTCAAATGTCAAAATAGCCAATCTGGAAAAAGTCTCTAGGTTAGCAATGCTTTTGGTTTGGCTACTCTGGCCATAAATCTGAAATTCACCTCGAATTCTCACTTTAGGGAGTAATCCTGGATGTGAAAGAGAGGGGAATTAATTTGCACCCATACTAAGACTTCAGCAGCTGAAATGCGCGCACACACACATATAGAGAAACACAAGGGCTTTTGCTGAACTACAGGAGTTATCTGGGGGGGAGGGGGGGAGGAGGAGAGGGGTTCACCTGGGGACACGGCTTTCAGTTATCCCCCTTAAATCTTCTACATTTAACAAGATATAATCAAGCTGCCTCCCATAACTGGCTCATTTTTAAGTAATTTCTAATTTTCAAAATATACATTATATACATTATATTCCCTGCTCCTTAATTTATACATCTACGTTCTCAGATTCACAGGATGAATACAAGCCTCTAACCCAGTATACCAGAAGAGGGGAAAGTCGAATTTTCACGCACACAAAATCAGGTCTTCTGGTATTTACAGATGCGAAGGATTTATAAATGGATAAATATTGAAATATGTATCCTGCAACAATATTTTCCAATATGTATCTCCAAGCACTATATTATTGTCTAAGACACTGCTGACACTAGAAAAGACATTCGTTAAATTATGCAGTCCCTCTCGTGCTATGGTTGAACTCCTGGATTTTAGCCTTGGCATGGTTGTACACAGGTTACAGAGATTGATTTTCCATATTTATTTAACAAGTGGTAGTTTGGTACATTTCAAGCACCTTCTAAAGCCAACATGCAGTATATGAGCTGCAGGAGATATAGAGAATAGCTCATAAGTTATAGAAGGATTGGTAATTAACAAAAAGTAAATTTGTCACTGCCTGTAAGCAAGCCATATCTGTATTTGCCATCAAGTATTTAAAGCACTCAGAATTGTAACAGAATGTCACTAAGGTAGGGGTAGGGGTGGTGGTGGTGGTGGTGGTGGTGGGTGTGGGTGCACGCGCACCAGGGCTCGACAAATTCCAGGCGCCAGGTCGCCGTGGCAACTAGGATTTTTTAACTAAACAGCGCTCTAAGGAGCAGTGCAGAGAGATGACTGAAGCCCCAATAGACCACAGGGAATGCTGAACCCAGGTAGGGAGGCTGGGTAGTCACATAAATGTGTGTGATTATTGCAGTGACTGAGTGTGTCAGTGAGTGACTTATTAGAAGTGTTACAAGGCAGCAATGTAAATCCTGCCTTTTCTCTGAAAAGTGTGACGTGACAGATTATAGACACGAGAACAACTACATTAAGCTGTAGTGGTTCTGGTGACTATAGTGTCCCTTTAAGAATTGTATTTTTGACATTGAAAAACCTGGCTCCTAACTTTTTTTGATGGCTCCTAGATTCTAAGCAAATTTGTCAAGCCCTGACATACACACATACACAAATACGGCTGGGGTTAATATGGTTTAAAGTCAGAGTGACCATGTTAAGAGCAAGGTACTGCGCAAAAGCATATTATAAAATTGCTTATAGCGCAAGACTCTCACCACCGTAAATAACCTTGAGAAACTGTTAATTATTTTACTTCATATCAGAGTAATCGGATAGAATTGTTGCAACAGCTTGACCACAGAATCTCCTTATTTGTTTTATATTCCCATACTCTAATAAGTATTACATAAACTAGCGACATCTGGTTCTTTTACTCAATTGACTCGAGAACAAAGCCTAACATTCTGGCATACGACTTTCATTTCCTCTTTTTCAGAAAGAGAGATTCAGATAATTGAGAAGCTGAGTTGCTTAGAAAAATTGAAAGATTTGTAATAATATGTAAGACTGAATTATGTTCAGTGGGTTTTATAATTGAATCCAACACAGACAGCACAAAACGTGTATACTTGTGTTTTTAAAGAAAGCATGCCAGCTGTCCAATGTGCACGACATAAACAAAACACGGTAAACCAAATAAAATACAGCAGAATCCTGGTTAAAAAACAAACAAATGGGATGATTTTGTTTTAAAAATTGTTACATTTAAGAAAAAAATAAAACACATAAAATTCACACTTTAGAGAATAATGCTGTAAATCGAGATGTGAAGCTATTAATGGGAGTTGATTTTGAAAGGTCAATAATATATTAAGGGGTCATTAACTAAACTGTGAGTTGCGCTTTTTGCTACTTTTTGACTTCAGTTTTGCAATTCTCTTATATACACACACACACACACACACACACACCGCAGCTTTTGAAGTGCTGTGTGTGTGTGTGTGTGTGTGTATCATAATTTATTATTATTTTACAAATATGTCAATTTACATAGAAATGGGTACTTTTATAATTAAATTACATAATCACCCCATCTATAAAACGCGGACTGCCGAGAAGGATTTATTTAGATTATTACAGCTCACTGAAAAGCGTTGGAAACACGCAATCGCAAGCTCACAGTTCTGGCACAGATGCTTCTCAATGAGCGCCCTCTACCTGGAGGATTCCCCAGTGTCAGGGGGAGGGAGAAGAGGGATGCAGAAAAAGGTATCTACAGCTTTTGCAAGAGTTTTTTCAGATATACCCCCAATGAAAAAAAAATACATAAATTAAATGCATGCATGTTTCTAATGGAATTATATCTATGGAGTTATTTACTTTTTCTTTTTTTGCAATGGAGTGTTCCTCTAATACCATGACATGATTACAAGTTTTATTTTAGGCTACTGAAAACCTTATCTACGTTTAAAATACTGGGATCATGTTAACATTTAAGTTCCAGAAACACGAACAAACCCTCGGATTCTTTTCTGTAATCATGCAATATAGACTGTGGGGCCCTGGGTAAATTTTCATTGTGTACATCAAGACCTGGTTTGGCCTGCAAATACGTGTATGTTTTATTTACGTATGTATAGAGTGGAATACATGGTAAATGTTGGCACTTTAAAGATTGAGGCACCCATATCTTTGTTTAAGTGTACCAAATGAGGTTGTAAAGAACAAGAAATCTGACTTATTTTGTAAGCGATAGAGGATCACCCAGCAGCATCATGCACAAAATATCACCTAACACACACAGCAACATCATGCACAAAATGAGTTACATTATAAAATGCCACCTAACGAACACAACTTTACAGCAACTAAATTTCATGAATACATGGGTGGGATACCCCTGTTTAATTATAAACAGGAGGTTTTTCCTAAACCACAGTACAGGATGGAAAACTCATCAATAGTTAAAAGTCCAGGAAAGGAAATCCAGCGTCTAGAGACGGAGGGAACATGCGTCTAACATAGAAACAGAGACCAACTCAATTACAGCTAAAAGCTGACACGCTCACATTACAATCTCCAATCTGGATCTGAATTCACACAAATCCCAGGCAGGCTGCTACTAGGACATTTAACTAGGGATGCACAGAAATGAAAATTCTGGGCCGAAACCGAAAATTCAAAAAGGTTTTTCCCCCCCAATAATTTTATACTTTTTAATTAATCTTATATTAAAAACTTCCCTTCTCTTTTAGTGGTCCCCCCACTCCTCTTGTCCCATAGTGTTCTTTCCCCCCCTCCCCTGTCCCATAGAAACCACCCCCATCCCAAGTGCAGTATGCTTGACTTTTCATGTTATCATTATTATCTTTCACTGTGATATATCAAATCACCTAAATTGTTAATGCAAGCATGTCTGTTAAACTATGCACTACCCAAAAAAATTGTAACGATTATTATTATTTATTTTTTTTAATTTTTATTTTTTTTTAATTTCGGCAAGTTTGACACGTTTTCGGCCGAAACAGGAAAGGCCCATTTTCGGCCGAAAATTTCAGCAGCCGAAATTTCAGTACATCCCTACGTTTAACATGCGCTATTTGTTGCTACTCAAGTAAAGAAAGGGGCTGTGAGAAGCACTACTATCTGTAAGCTAACCGCGTGCAGTACAACAAGCATGGAAATAAAATTTGGATCTGGCTAGCAAGCGGTGTGCTTTTTGCGTGCACGACTGGGCTTTACATCACGCAGCCCTGGGAGCTGTGATGAAGATGTTAATTCAGTGTAGATCAGTGTTCAGACAGCCTGGCATGAGTATAGCAGCCTATGTTCTACAGAAACCGAGCATGTTCGTGGAATAAAGCTCTCTTGCCATATGTTTGATTATCTCAACTGTCTCTGAACAGCAGGACAACAGAGAAATAACCAGGTATGGTGGGACATCGATTTCAAGCCAGGATGGCCCTTAAAGGCCTAAAGGTAAGAATATCATTTTACGTCAATGAAGTGGTTTGGGTGCAGTGTTCCTTTAGTTGTAACCCTTTAGTGTAAAGTAGTTTGCAGATACCACAATGTTTACATTGCAGGGTTAAAACCATGTTTGCTGCTGTGTAAACACGGTCAATCTTTGCTCTCACAGTTAACCACCAATAGGAGCTCAGAGCTCCCAATAATGCGCTTTGTGTCCCCAATGCTACTCTAATCCGACTGGTGGCAAAGTGGTCAAGCACTACAATCCATATTGGCCAAACCCCGGTTTGGCTCAACTCCTTCTGAAAACAGGAGAGCTTGTGTTGATAGCTATAAAGTTTGGGCAGGGCTAACTACACAAGAAGCTGCTATCTCTAAGGCTTTGCAGCAAACGTCAAGCCTTTGTTTGGATTACTTTTTTTAGGCTTTATTGCTATAATTCAGCTTTCTTAAAACGTGTGATAAGGTGATCCTGAACTGTCCCTTTAATTGCATAAAATTTAATTTAATTTAATAAAATCCAATATTAAGTCAACATAATGTTGCAATCCATATAGATTAAGAAAATCAAGGCCAAGCAACTGAAGCGAGCGGTCGCATGGCCGACGAGCTCCGGATCGACAAGCTAAACAAACACCCTTACCGACACTCCAACCCGCGCAAAAATTCTCCCGGGACGGCCCCGAGACCCCACAGGCACGATGGGCAGGAAAACCAAAAAAGCGAGAGCAGACAAGCCCCGCCAGGGCATGGATATCGGAGAGTTATGGAGGCAGGCGCACGATGCTGCAGGAGCCAAGATGGCGTCCCTGCATGGAGGCTGCTCAGACTTCACTGACGGATCATCGGAGGATGATGGGGGAGACCCCCTGGAGTACATGCCGACCCAACCACCATCCCAAACGCAGCCATCCACTAAGCCTCACACCCCTGTCACAATGGAGGCGATCGGAGCACTTATGGCCGACCATCACAAGAAAATTGCGGATGATGTGGCCTTGCTCAGAGAGGACATCAGAGGCATCACCAATAGACTGGGAGCAGTAGAAGCCTCCTCCACCGGCCACACCAACCAGATCGCAGTCCTCCAAGAAGCGATCCGAGACCTACAACAAAAAGCTCGAGACCACGAACAGCTACTTGCCGCCCACGAAAACAAACATCGTCGGAACAACATAAAGCTAAGGGGGGTAGCCGACACTATCCCAGAGACCGAACTCCCACACTTCGTTAGGAGGTTACTCACAGAGCTACTAACCCCAAAAGCAGCAAAAGCTACTGTCTTAGATGGCATATTCCGCATTCTGCGCCCAGCAAAGGCCCCACCAGATGCAACAGGGGACCTAATTCTCCAATTCCAGTCATTCAAGGACAAAAAAAATAGTCCTAGAAACCGTCAGAGGTCGGCCCACGTATCCCTTTGAGGGAATGACCCTCTCATTTTACGCGGACCTGTCGAGAGAGACACTGGCGTGGAGGAAACATATGAGCCCATTCACAGCTCTCTTGCGCCTCCATAAAATCCGATACCGATGGGGACCAGGTCACACCCTCACTGTTGAAGCAGGAGGTAACAAACATACTCTCCACGACATGCATGAGGCAACTGGGACGTTGAGTCTACTTGGCCTCCCCACGGAATTACCGGCACCGTCGACACGACCAACAGGCAAAACGCGCCCGCAAAGAGAATACTCAACCGATGCTCCAGAGTTTGTACCCCGGAGAGCGACCATGGACCCATACGCCAAAGCCACCACCTGATGGAGGGGATACCTTGCAGGACCTGCATAAAGAACTGTATAACGCAGCTGGATTACCTTTGAAGGACTGAACCACAACCCATGAATATTACTCAACCGAAGAATTGGATGAAAATCTTGTCTGAGAGACGGACAGCTCCATGGAAACCAAAAACACGACCCTCCCGCCGCCAGCCTAGATGGCGACTTCCACACAAAGCCAGTTAAGCCACCAGCTACACTTCCCCTTAGGCCGGTTGCCCACTCATTTTGTACTGAACGCCTTCTATTGGACTTAACTGTGCATCTGAACTAGTTGTATGTCAGCAAAACAGCTAGCGCGACCCCAGTGGCTGACAATACAAACTGGCTGATATAACCTGCAACCACATAGCCGGTAATTTAAACAAGCCCACTGCGATATGCCTGACAGGCAGTCGAGCAGTAATCATACCACCGATTGCAAGTAATTCTTATCTAGCATGCACCCCAGCATATAATTGATCGTCAAACAGCTCCACCTGGTTTTAGCCTCCCCCTTTTTAATCTGCTCATGTTAAATCAATGACCTGGATCCGCAAATAGCAGCGGCCAAACACTATTGTAATATTCCCCAAAGCGCAGCCCTTACAACGGGCACATTACTATAACACTAACTCACAAGCTGACTTAACCCTTACTTGATAGCTTGTTACAGCATAACATTCTACACTAGAGCAGCACAACCTGCATACACTAGCCAACTACAGACACACAGCAAATCGCAATGCCGCACTACATCTATGTAGGCATAGCTACTAGAGCGTTGTCAAACGTTAAATATTTCATTTTATTTTACTTCCCTTTATCTTGCCTTCTGTTATAATGCCACACAAGGGGCAATCTCTCACACCACTGTTGAACGTTAATCTGTTGCGGCATCTGCTAATGTTAACTTCTAACATGTTTCCTATCTTGAATATGCAAAAAAACCAAAACCTGTGCTATGTATTTCAATGCCATACCAATGTTATTGTATGTTTCTTGTACTTGCTTGCACCAGCTGTCGTGGCAGTGCAAACAAGATTGTACACGCAATGCACAAATAAAATAAAGAATTTAAAAAAAATAAAAAAAAAATCAAGAGACGTTTCCTAAATAAAACGTGTTTGTATACATGTATCTAAATGTATGTTTTATATTAACCAAATGGAATAGTGTAGATGGGTGAAGCCATAGTTTGCAAATATACCGAACATCACATTTAGCATTCTCCATTAAAATACAATCCTTCGATCAGACATGGGATTACACTCCTGAAGGCAATGCAGACATTTCCCTTAAATTTCTCTTTAACAATGGAGTTTACTAATGCTGCCTGTGGTTCTTTCAGTTTTCCCTTTGCCTCAAATCCTGCGGTGCCATTAATTAGATCTAACCAAGACATCAAAGGATGCAGGTTGGCAGAGATGAATACAAATTAAGCAGATTTTCAGACGATATCCTTTCACCCTGCTGGAGCCACCATTCCCTGACATTTACACTTGGCTACATACAAAAAAAAAGCCAATGTACAAATTTCAGATTTTTTTTTTTTTTTTTTTAAATAGTTTACTGTAAAAATAATCTTATGTCAACATTACAACATAATCAAATACTATGTTGTTCTAAATTGATTAATAAATCCCTATAGGGACTAGTTATTTTTTCTATTCCAACTGGTTTGTTTTTCAGCAGGTCTTCACATGTACATTGTATTAATAGTCGAACACTGCAACACTGGATGTGCATCTTAATGGAGATCTTGCGTTTTTGTATTTAAGGGATGTGTGCAGCATTCAGAGTCAGCAGGTGTTAATGCAGGGGTGCAGTGGTGAATGTTTTGAACAAAAGCTCAGTACGTGGGCATTTGGCACCCCAATACCTTCCCCACATTTCTTAACTTGCAAACAAGGCATTAACTTGCCAAAACATCAGGAACTTAATCGTTTCAGACTTTTAACATAACATGTAAATGTATTTATAAATAATATTTAGAACTGTATATGAACTTCAGTATACATGGAACAAACACTTAAGGTCTACAGAAAATATTAAGATTTTGCACAGATAAATCACATTAATGTTTAAAATTGACCCAATCTGGTGTACATAAATTGTGTCAAAATATTATGTGGATTTGAGGTAAAAGACAGATCCTTCACTCTTTATACCCAGAATACATGAAGAGTGAATAAAGGGCATACCAACTTAAAGGAACACTATAGTCACCTAAATTACTTTAGCTAAATAAAGCAGTTTTAGTGTATAGATCATTCCCCTGCAATTTCACTGCTCAATTCACTGTCATTTAGGAGTTAAATCACTTTGTTTCTGTTTATGCAGCCCTAGCCACACCTCCCCTGGCTATGATTGACAGAGCCAGCATGAAAAAAAAAACTGGTTTCACTTTCAAACAGATGTAATTTACCTTAAATAATTGTATCTCAATCTCTAAATTGAACTTTAATCACATACAGGAGGCTCTTGCAGGGTCTAGCAAGCTATTAACATAGCAGGGGATAAGAAAATCTTAATTAAACAGAACTTGCAATAAAGAAAGCCTAAATAGGGCTCTCTTTACAGGAAGTGTTTATGGAAGGCTGTGCAAGTCACATGCAGGGAGGTGTGACTATGGTTCATAAACAAAGGGATTTAACTCCTAAATGGCAGAGGATTGAGCAGTGAGGCTGCAGGGGCATGTTCTATACACCAAAACTGCTTCATTAAGCTAAAGTTGTTCAGGTGACTATAATGTCCCTTTAATATAATTACAAACTTGTTTCAACCATGTGTAAATCCTTCCAAAACATTTAGCACTTTTTGAACCGCCATCCTAAAGCTTCACTCTACTTTCTGTCTAAGCACTTTAATAGGAATCTCTTTTACAATTACAAATACCAAGCCCTCATCACAATGCATCTTTCCAACCATGTCTTCTGTGACCCTGTCCTTTTTATAACCATTTACCACCAGACTCCGTTACGGACCCTATGCCATTTCTCAACATTTGGAAAACCTGCCATTTCTAGAATCATGAGACGAAAAACCAAATGGGTTAGGACACAGGTTTATGAGTTTTCATACTGATGGCTCTACAACATTAATTTGAGTGGCCTCTAATAACAAATTATAAAATGTTACACATTAAAAGTTCACAATGGGTGGGGGTATAACAATGGAAAGGTATTCTAGAAAAACCTTGATAGATGTTTTCTACATACATTTCCCCGCCCTGTGCTTATTGCGGTCTTTCCAATGTACTTCCACCTACCATTAATTTTTTTAATAGCCTGCAAAGTAATGTACACTGTGGCTTTCACTTGCATACCTTAAAGGGATTCTCTAGTGCCAGGACAACAAACCCGTTTTCTTGGTACTATAGAATCCTACAGTGCCCCCCCACCTTGGCAGCTGAAGGGGGTTTAAATCCCTTCAGTCACCTACCTGAGTCCAGAGCAGATATCTCTTGGCGCAGGGTCAGGCTCTCCCCCACGCTCCTCCCGCTCCAACGTCCGGCAGGGGAGACCTAATTCGCATTATTTCCTATGGGGATTCCGGTGACGGTGGAAGTCCTCATGCATAGTGTGAGGACGCCCAGCGTCGTTTAGATGACCAAAAGTCATCTAAGCACCCGGATGTCCCTCTATTATCTGTCTTGTTGACAGCCACTAGAGGAGGACTTAACCCTGAAAGGTAATTATTGCAGTTTCTCAGAAACTGCAATAATTACCACTGTAGGGTTAAGTAACATGGGACATAAATAACGTTTGGTAAGCAATATATGTGTTTGAGCGCTCCACTTATAGGTGTAAGTCTTTGTTACTTACACCGCATTTAAATCTATTATTTTGTCAAGTGGGATAGAGGATATTTCCACACAAGTGTATAGAGCTGCCCGAAAATCACCTTCACTTTGTAAAGCACCTTGTTACCCACATTCCTCCATAAAAAGAGGTCAACTTTGATTGGTAAACATGGGACATTGACCGGAAGAGGTCCGGGTGCCTACAGTGTCATTTTTAATAGTAGCATTACATTTTCAAAGAGAAAAAGTGCCTGGAACTCATACACATTGTATATTCAGCTAAGCCACTGATCAGGTCAGTGTGAGTCACAACGTCATATATACAAAGAATTCCAACCCCCTATTGACCTGGCTCTGGAGCTTATTGAGACTAATCAGCTCTGGGATACTCATTGACAAATACATAATTGGCACAGAGTGCAGATCAATGATATACTCACCATTCTAACTACTTCAGGATAAGTCTGTTCTGTTAGACACCCCCTGCTTACTGTAATGTAATCCACCAGTTCATTCAAAGTAGAGCGTTTGTATTCTTTCATTTTAAGATCAGACAGTGTATCCATAAAATCAAAAATGACGCAGCACTGTTGAAGTTTCTTTAGGAACAGCTCAGGTTGTTCAGAGGTAGGGACGTCTGGAATGAGAAAGGAAATTATTTTAGAGTTTTTAATATCACAGTCATTCTTACTGAAAAGTAAAAACGAACGTATTAGACATTTTAGAATAAGCCATATCTTTTTACTAAACAAATTCTCGCATATCCAAGGAAACAAATAGGGCAGTTGCTGTATCCTAAAGGTTGCCAAAAATGCAAAACGGTGTGCTTTGTCAACTACAATGGAGAGAAAACCATCATTACACAATGAGGAGACAAAAAAAAAAAAACCACACTAACATAAGAGTATTCCTTGTAAATGAAAAAAAAACCTACCACCAACTTTCACCCAGATTAGATTTATCACAAGTAATTGGACCACAACACACAAACTCCGAATGATGTATGAAGGCAAAATAAATACCATCTTGGAGGCAGAAACAAAATGCATTAAATAATTTTTGGTTTTGTTTTTTCAGACATTTCTACATATGCAAGTTAAAATTTCTTTGGGAAGTTTTTGGGGATTTGAGTGTGTATGATAAAAATGTCTTATTCAATTAGTGTGAATTCAAATAAAAAAGGTCTAACATGGCATGTTAAATACAGAGTTAACACTGTTACCTATAGAAACACTCCACTACTGTCCACACATTCACACAAAACTGGAATAAAAGGACTCTGCAAGAGAAACTAGAACGACGACTATTGGAATGAAATGTGTAACTTTAAACACTGTTGGGCTGCAATGTGTACACATTGTAAATACTACACCCAACGCTTCTACAAATGCAAGCAGAGGGAAAGAAACACAAAAACACTCCCAACAAAACATGGTTTTACAAAGGTTTACTGTTTGTATAACATATAGCCTGACATGTAAATTAGCTTTTACTACAACAGTGCAGATTATTTTAAACTAAACTACTCTCAAAGTGGCGTCAGCACAGAAGCTGCGCATGCTTTGTGAACTACATGTAGTTTAGCATCACGTGTAACGTAGATAAAAGTGAAGACGGCCATCAAATAACACCAGTTTTTTGTAAACCATTTAGCTTATGTTTTCAGGTTTCATTAAATGGGGCACTCCGGGCACCATAATATCTTCATCCCATTGATGTGGTTAGCCAGTCACTGTTGTCCAATGGTTTAACACTGAATAGTGGCAAGGGGCCAGGAACAACAAGTGTACATTTATCCACATAAATTCTAGAGATTTCGCCTTCCTGCTGATAAAGCAACTCTCCAGCCGCCTTTAAGTAACAGTCAATGAGGGTTTACAAATCGTGAAGCAGATCTGAGATGCTACATTTACACTGCTCGATCAGATCTTCAAGTGGCAACTAAGGCTCAACTTCCTATAGCTTGGTGAGATGAAAAGGATCTCAATGAAGTAGTCTGGGTACAGTGACCCTGTAGTTTGCCATTTAGTAGTAATAGCAATGTTTCCATTGCAGGGTTAACATACATATAGTGGTTGTCTTCCATGTTGATTACAGAGTCAAACTGAACAGAGCGGCATTGTGGCGTGCATGCAACCTAGTCTCCCAATGTTTCCCTACAAAGCAGCACTAGATTGGCTGAGATCATAAAAAGAATTAAATTCCATTAGGGCAAGGAATGCAGTAGAGTTAAGTGTTGTCAGCCTGTAAGGAGGCCTCAGGCATTCAGAATTCTAGGTGCCCTGTGCGATGTGCCTTAATGGCACCATGAAAAAAATAATGATTTGCATCATATGCCAGCCTGTGCCTTGGCAGGCTCGTATATGATGCAGATAAATTGTTTGTCGACATACACAAGATTTAAAAATGTACTCTTTTTAGAGTCTTTGGGTGTTATCCAAAGGTTTAATGTTACAAAAATTACCAAAACAGTATTGTAGTTTTGAAATTTGAATGCACGGTTCGTGCAAGGTTAAGATTCCTCGTCCAGTGATGACCTGACCTACGCCCGAGTTAATTGGTTTTGCTTGGTAACCTGAATTTCAATGTGTTGCCAGTATAAATACTATTGTACTATGATGCATGCATTATTTATAGAATGACCTCCAAGATTGCAGTGTTTAAATGATCTGTAATACAAGTGGAGTTAATACAGACTGACAGATTAAGTTACTGCACCTTGTTAATAAATAACATTATCATCTCACACAATACAACTCCATTGTGCTACAGAAACAAAATATATTACTTAGCAACTTGGAAGAAGTATAAACACACACCACCAAGCAGATAAAAGAGAAAGTTATTAACTCGTCACTCAGTAAAGTGAAGAATACATTCAACCTGGTTTTCTGAGCAGCGTATTCAGATCTTCGAGAGGGAATCAGGAGCGTTCGAGGAATTCTAAACCCCAGACCGCCATGCTGTGTTGTGTGAAAGGTGGTTATATAACCACTGAGCGAGACAAATTCTTACTATTGTATGGGAGAACACTTCAAGCACAAACTGTTAAAGTCCACATGGGTTTAAAACAATCAGCATTCCAGATATTATATTTATAAAGATCCAATACATTACGCAGTGCTATCCAATTATTGTAGCAGATTATCTGCATGAGCAAGCATCAGGACTTTTAAGCTCAAACCATTGTACGTTTATACAGGTTAAACGTATTCAGGATATTCCTATCCTGCCAGTTCATCTAATTATATATTTTACTCTCAGTTAATACTTATCTCATAATTACTAATCTTTGCACTGTGCCAGGATAAAGGTGCTATATGAGAAATGATTTTTTGATTAAAGCATTCAGCTGAGACACAGCGGTATTAAAAGCACCAGACAGATGATGCTTACGGTTTACCTGCCTTAGCAGTACTTCAAGTAATCGGCCTTTTTCTCCTGCTGTGTCTGAGCTGAAATGTTTTAATAAAGAAATTAGAAAGTATTTTGTTTTTTTTAATTTTTCTTTAATTACACTGGAGAGTAAAAATGGGGTGAGGGTGGTCTGTAATTTTTAATATTTCTTCATACTTCGAATCAGTGGGACTAAATATTAGTGTAAGTGCCAAAAAAAGGCCTCTGTCATGAACACAAAGATTCTCTGGAAAGTCTTTAAGTCTTGGTGCCAAAGTGTTAAAATACCCCTCAGAATACATTAGAATGATTACAATTTTAAAGAGGTATCTACCAGCAAGCTTGAAAAAAAAAAAAGTTTTATTTTTCAGCATAGATAAAATCTGACGCGATATGCACCAAATCAACTAACTTAATGAAGCTTTTTTGGTGTATAGATCATGCCCCTGCAGTCTCACTGCTCAATTCTCTGCCATTTAAGAGTTAAATCAGTTTGTTTATGCAGCCCTAGTCACACCTCTCCTGACTGACTGACACAGCCTGCATAGGGAAAAAAGGTTTCACTTTCAATCAGATATAAATTTACTTTAAAAGTGTCTCCTACTCGGTTAACTGAACTTTAATCACACACAGGAGGCTCATGCAAGGCCTGGAAGGCTATTAAAAGAGCAAGAGATAATATATTCTAAATTAAACAAAATGTGCAATAAAGGAAGTGTAAACATTAGATCTTTCTTTTTCAAGAACGGTTTACAAAGGTTGTGCAAGTTATACGCAGGAAGGTGTGACTAGGGCTGCATTAACAAAGTGATTTAACTCCTAAATGGCAGAAAATTGAGCAGTGAATGCAGGGGTATGATCTATACACCAAAACTGCTTCATTAAAAGGGACTCTCCAGTGCCAGGAAAACAAACAGTTTTCCTGGAACTGCAGGTCCCCTCTCCCTCCCACCCCCATCCCAAGTTGCTGAAGGGGTTAAAACCCCTTGAGTGACTTTCCTGTATACAGCGCCGATGTCCCTCAGCGCTGGTTCAGGGTCCGCCCACGCTCCTAATGTGAGTGAGGACATCCAGTGACGCGATAGCACACCATTTTCGTGAGCTATAAACACAGAAGTGCCCTCTAGTGGCTGTCTAGTAGACAGCCACTAGAGGAGGAGTTAACCCTGCAAGGTAAATATTGCAGTTTTTGAAAACTGCAATAATTACACTTGCAGGATTAAGGGTAGTGGGAGTCTGCACCCAGACCACTCCAATGGGCAGAAGTGGTCTGGGTGCCTGGAGTGTCCCTTTAAGTTGTTTTGGTGAATATAGTGTCCTTTTAATATAATATATATATATATATATATATATATATATATATATATATATATATATATATATATCTTACACTTCAAACTTTGAATAATATTTTAATATAATCAGATTTCGCAACAACTTCAGAATCAAAACTAGTACAAAGTAAAAGAAGTGGCGTAACACTACAATTTATAGGTCAGGTTCATATTCAGAATAGCAGGAACGAGATCCCCATTCCAGGTTCCTTAGCACTTTACAAATACCAGTTATAGTAACATTGCCAACACATTCCACAGCACTGTACAAACAGGGAAAATAGGCAACACATTATAAAAAAAACTAAGGAACAGAAACAGAGGTCCTGCTCATGATCTGAAATCTAGCACTTCAGTGCCCTTTCACATAAATCATTTGATAGGCCCATGAGCTTACAATCGTATGTTATTTAGCAGATCGTTCGATGTCAGAGCAAAAAGAAATATACTGTTTTTAAAAAAAAAATTTTAAAAAATCCTGAAATGGCATATGGGCCGAACTCACTAAACTGGGAATTGGTGATAATGGGCACGGAAATATACAATATTGCTTTGGCTATTATCGCCTAAAACTTCCGCTTTTACTGTGAATAAATCAAATCGGAAAAATGTGAAAATCCCAATGACAAAGGAATCAACATAATCGCAGGGAACCCAACTGGCTTTACAGCGATTCACATCGAAATCTAGTGTAAAATAAAAGAGGAGGTGAGGGGAAGGATTTATTATAGAATGCACACAATTTGATAAAACAAAAACTGCTTTGCTGTAGGAAGGAAGTACAGTGCAGTCTTAAACAATAGACAACACACAAAGTTACAAACAAAATCAGCCAAACCAAGTGAGAATTACAAAAACAAGGACTTTGGGAAAAGTGTGAATGAAGTAGAACCCCACTGATGAGGCTGGTAGAAAGTATACATATTAATCGGTCAGGTGACGGGTTTTGACCTCAATCCATGAACCAAAACAAAAGGACCCATTGTCCGTGAGCACATTCTATAATTAATAAACAATGCACAAGCACTTGCGCAACAGGTTCACTGTGCAGCCCGTATTCATTAATTTTGAGAGCTATGGTCAAAAAAAACAAAAAAAAACAACAAATTTAAAAAAAAATTAAAAATAAATGGACAGCCATAAGCGCATCATTTTGTTGGAATTCTTTCAAAAGCTATTGTTAAAATGGCATGAAAAACAAAATAAATAAATGTAAAACAATGCAGTTTTCTGGTTTTCTATTTAAATAAACAGCAATGTTTACGTTAAATGCACCTCTAGTGGCCATCTTTCTGACCGGCACTTCCAAAGCACTGACCGAGTAAAAATTGGTCACATGACGTGGACATTCATATGAAAGCACTGAATACAATTGGTTTGTTTTGGGAAGCTTGGATATGCCTGTGGCATGTGCATGAGGTCCCCCTTAATGATGTCATGGGAGGCGGAGAGGTGAGCAGGGCCAAGGAAAGTTCTGCACATTTATTTATTTTTTGGGTGGCACATTGGACACACACACACGGGACAGGGTCATTATGGCGTTTGGAATACATGTTTATATTCCAAATGCTTTAATGTTCCTTTAAGAACCGTGCCTGCAAGCTAACATAACAGAAAAGGACGACTACAGAGTGTCACTGAATAATCTGCATCATTTCTGAGAATTGTTTTCAGTCGCAAAGTATCTGTTGCCTCTGTGACTTTTCGGTTTTCGTTTTTTGCGTTACTTTTTGAGTACTGCATTCCATTTGTTAGAAGGAGCATTCTATATAAAGTCTTTGTTTAGCCACTATTTTTGTAAGCATAGAGAAATTTCTTACAGTAGCCAAACTTGTCCTCACCGAACCCATCCAGAATGATGATGGCTGTTTTCCAATGAAAGGTTTTTAATAAAAAAATAGTGCGTACAAGTGTCAGTTTTCACAATCCGCCAATACAATGCTTGAATCCGGCGTCATTTTCATGCTGGTAGATAGATTCAGGTATCAGCATTCAAAACAAAATAGTGTGATTTCTCCGAAACCGCACAAATTCCAAGTTAAAGACTGCAGGGGATCAGAATCAATAATTACAATGAAGTGACTATGGCGCTTAGACTGTGCCTTTAAATATTTTTGCATCAAACTTTTATTTTTTTCTACTGATTTTCCACTGTTATCTTAAAAGCCGATACGCCTACACAATATTTATGGGAAAGAATTGTGGAGGCGTAATGTGTCCGAAGATAGAAAAAAAAAAGGTGAATCAATTACCTTTGGAGATCATGGCAGCCTAGGAAAAAGGTGAAATTCAATGGGGGTGGAAAATGTGGACCAAAATATCTAACCAAGGAGACTGTTTCCAACTGAGCAAAAAATGCTGAATTCTCTGGTCAATTGTTTTGTGAATAACCCTGCAGGTATATTCTGGAGTGTGGTTTACATAGCATCATTACTGGTCACAATTTTATGATCAATAGATTACATTTGCCTTGTACAAAACATAAACACAGAAGGTTTCCCCCCCCCCCCAAAGCTTTTAACAGTGCATTACAGAAAGTTGAAATAACAGAATATATAGTCTCAGCATAAACCAAAATTATATTTTGACAATGGACTGGAATACAGAATGCAGACTGTTTTAAATGGAACACAGTTTAAATTGCAAATAAAGTGTAGCACTCAAGGCTTGACTGACCAATGTATTGGGGGAACACCCACCATCAACACATTTGCCCCTTCTGTAGTGATCTCTGACCCAGCCAGGATGTGGCTGAAATCTCTTATAATAGGATTTGTAGTTCAGCTGTCAGTTTTCTACAGTTATTGTAATAAACAGCTTCAACATTTATAATCCAACAAAAATAACCACAAACATAAACAAAGCCTTGTTTACAAAGTAATAGAAGAAGCAGTGGGTATTGTATTTACATGGTTAATTCACTAATACATTATTATGAATGAAGTAAATTTCTTAGTCTGAGAGTTTAGGCTCCCACTGTGGTAGTAAGTACTAGTACATAATTGCTCTTCGTGCAACTGCAGAGAGCAAGGACACGACACAGGCCGGAGGAGTCACAGAAGGTGGGTAGATACATCATTAAAAGGACACGCCAGGCACCCAGACCACTTCTGCCCATTGGAGTGGTCTGGGTGCCAACTCCCACTACCTTTAACCCTGCAAGTGTAATTATTGCAGTTTTCATAAAGTTTTCTACTAGACAGCCACTAGAGGGCACTTCCGGGAGTTTAGCACAGGTTTTCTGCACAGAGCGTCGCTGTGCTCACGCTATGTTTTTTCAATGCCTTCCTATGGAGAGGTCTAATGCACGTGCACGGCATTGCCGCACATGCGCATTAGGTCTCCCCAGCCGCCGGGCGGGATCAGTCTCCCCCGCCAGCTGACGTGATAAAGGGGAGGAGTGGTGGCGGAGGAAGAAGCAGCGATGAGGGACATAGTCGCTGCCTTTGGTAAGTGACTGAAGGGGTTGGGAGGCAGAGGGGACCTGCAGTGCCAGGAAAACAGATTTTTCCTGGCACTGGATAGTCCCTTTAACTTCATAAAATGAGCTAGACGGCTGCATTCACAGCTACAAAACGAACCCAGTATCATTGGCAGCAGTGTCCCTGGATTGAAGAATAAAGATTTTGCAAAGACCCACGATGGTGAATTTACTGCTTGTAATGCGGTAGCCGCAGTGAAAAGAGAGTTTTATTTACCTGAACCTGTGCCTTGCAACCGCCATCTTCATCTACTAGGAGCCGATGTTAGATCTGTACTCCAACGCATGTGCAAGAGTACAATACTTATGCCTATGGAGGATCCTGGAAGACCACGGGATCCTCCACAGACAAAAGCCTTTTTCCTAACTCACACCTGTCACTAGCGAGTAGAAGATTTTGCAGTTCTGTCACCCCTCACCTCTCAAAAGTAAGCATTTTATAAATAATCTGTATGACATACTTATTTTTGAGAGGGGAGAGGTGACAGAACTGCAAATTCTCATACTGGCAGCCAGTTTTTTGTTTGTTTTTTTAAACGCACATGTATACCATATAAAAAAAAAAAAATGACATTTCCCTTTCCATTATCTATAGTGGTTATGTCGTGCTTCAAAAAAAATAAAAAAAAAATATGTTAGAACACTTTCTGATGGACACGCGAATACTTTAATATACTTTGTCTGGAAGCTGAATCCAGGAACTGAATTTCAATTCCTGAAAAAATAAAAATAAAAAAATAAAAAACAATTTTTAAATATACCCTTTCATGGCTTTGTCTATATATCCATCTCATGGCTGGACAGATACTAGTGGCTCATTAAAGGCATCATTGTGAACTCCAGAGTCTTTTACATAAAAAAGAAATAACAGCTCCCAGAGTCCTGCATTAGGTTTGTCTGCTTTCTAGCGCAGTCCTCAAGGCTCACACGCAGAATTTAGGCATTCCCAATTCTGTTCAATATGGATGCTGACAAGTTGGTGGGCCTTGAGGACTGTGAGAAGAATCATTCCTATAGAGAAGCACAGACCACCACATAAATCAGGGAATGTACCGACTTGCCGACTAGCAAGGAATTCGTTATAGGATGAAAAATGCTCATTCTCACAAGGATGGCAAGCACTATAGCCAACACACTCCCGACTATGGGTCTAGCTCAGCTTTCCCTTACCGGTTACAGGGGATGAAGGGAGGTGAGTAGGTGAAGAATTGTTCCACAGTAAACATAAAGGAAACAAAAACGTGTACATAATATGGTATTACCCCATAGCAGGGAAATTAGTCATACATACCAAAATAGAACAAACATACAAAAGGTAAATTGCTTCACTGTAACACCAATTGGCTGCTGTCCAAGTCAGCAATAAAATACACAAGAGGTTTTTTTAGATCGATTTCAAAGAAACTTTGACATAAAAAATACAAAGGAGAAAAGATAGATATATATAATAATTCTGAACCTTTGTAACGGAAAACACACTTACCAATCACAATTAACTCTTTATAGAAAAGCATATACATCTAGTTTGTAAGGAGGGCACAGAGAAAGAAAATATAGAGGCAGCATGAAAAAAAATATTTATTTACTGGCTGGCTAATGTCAATTCTGTACATATATTTCTATTCACAGAGGGGCAATACTCATTGGCTAAACGCAACCAGCTGACACTCAACCAATGAATGAGCATAACCTTCAAAAACATGTCTAATTTGATGTATGGAGTACACGACACAGATTTCTAGATTAGAGTTACAAAGAATGCTATATATAGTTTTAAGTCTGAAAGTGGTGAAAATTTGTATTTAGGTTTAAAAAGTACACTATGGTTCCTCAGAAAAGAAAAAAAAAAATAATAACATGATAATATTAAAGCAACTGTTTAAACATGAAAGCCAGTAGGTACACACAATACAACACAAACACTATAAAACAAATAACACTAAATTGCGTACCTAGTCTCAGTGGAGCAATGGTTGAGCAAACCAAGTGTGCACGGTCCGTAAATAAAATATAGCTGCTGTCAACGGTCATAACAGTAGCCTCCACTAAAGTGCTTTAAACGCCCCAGTAATACCAAGGGAACATCAAGTGGCCTTCCACTGAATTCACAGTAACCCACAATCTAAGTGTTTCGTCCCAGTATTAGCACTTTACCCAAAACTTAATATGATCCATGCACTTCTCACGCAACAAAGTCACCCAGGAGAGCTTTTCAAAAAAAAATTTTTTTTTTTTTTTTTTAAATAGCCAACAAGTCACATATTATTAAATATCACTGCCAGTAAAAACTGGACAGACAAGGGGAGAGTTTGAATGAACTATAGCTTAGAATCTTTGAGGTTAATCTTTTAGTTCCAAAAATACCTTCCTGTTACAAGCAATCAATTTTAAAGGTTTACTTAAAACATAACTACTACAGACAGATATAGTGGTTATGGTGAAAGAAGTACCCTGGTCCCATTTAATGGTAATGGAGCAAATAGTTTTACCTGCAGAGCTGCCAATGCCACCATTCGCCATTCATTGGTCAGGTGACCAATCTCAGTTAATGAACAGATTTTACATTAGGCAGTCTGGAACTCATTACAGCTGGCTAATAACACCCCAATGATGCTACTGCCATGGAGGTGCATCACTAACAGCATAGTGGTTAAATTCCTTATATGATTCCATGCATCACTAACACTTCAAATCACTGAAGCGGTAATGGTGTTTGGAGTAACTAATTATTTTCAGTAGAGGTACAGTATCTCTTGTAGAATAAGTATGAATATCTGTATGTCTGTTGGAGAGACATCTCCTGTGTTAGCTTGGAGGAGATGCATTCGGTGTAGTTTCACATCACTCATGAGATCTGGGTTAACCGGTAGAGCAACATTAATAGTGCAATTCCTCTGAGCACATTCCTCAATGACTTGTTTGTACAGCTTGCAATTCAAAAATTCATTGCATTTCCCAATTAATTTGCATAATCTATACACAAAGCAGTTGGCAACAGATTCATTTACTCATGCTCAGAACTTTTATTGAAGTCTGCACATACACACGCGTGCGGTTACAATTTGACGTTACATGAATTTGTAGGCACAGTTGGCTGTAACTTAGAAGGGAGTTGACTTCCTGAAGATTTTCAGATCTGTGTGATGTCACTGTGTGAGCAATACACACATTGCTATAGTGAATTAACCCATTCTCCCAGACACAAAATCTGGGAGCACAGTGTGAGGAAGCACAACATTTCCTTGTGGAACCGTGTACAACTACAACCTACAAAACTAAAAGATCGATAACTACATGCTACGATGACAACACCATAAAACAGAGAGGGTTATTAAAATTGTAAAAAGTATAAAAATCAGGGTAACAGAAAAAAAAGAAATCTTAGCAGCATGATGTCAAAAGGACAGCAATAAGCGTGTATTTTACTTAACCCAGTCCAATTTGTACAGGGTAAAGGGAAACTGTCATGTCATACCTGGCCCTCTCACTAGAGAGTTTGAGGTTACACTTCTGTAACCCCATTCTCTGGTGCCGGCACCTGAGCGGAATGACGTCACATCACTTCGTTCCTATATTCCTTAGTCAGCGTTATCAGCAAGCACTGTGGTTGTTATGGTTGAAGAGCAGAGGGCCATCCTGTTGGGGGTCTTGTCAACTCTCCTTGGCTCTCAGTTCCCCCGACATATATAGTGTTTGCCGATTAATTGAGATTCAAAAAGGAGGAAAAAAAAAAAAAAAAAAGACACTCCAAATCTATACATTTGCTAGCAACACTGCAAGCACAATGTATAGATGGTATTTTAACAGCATTTAAAAGAGCTGAAAAGTTCATTATATCATGACAGGCTGCCTTTAAAAAGGAACAATTCTGTACAACAGAAGATTTCAAGCAGAATGCAAAAAGCTACACACACAGAAACAAAGTAACCAATTCCTTAGAGTACACAGAGTCTGTACAAATAATGTCACGCGCTAGGTGAAATGTAACAACTAAACTCCTGCTTATAAGCAAGTCTACATAAAATGTAGCAAATGGGAAGTAACAAAAATAATTAAACCAATATAAATAGCTCAATTTGTATTCCTAATAAGGCTTTATTACCACACTGGCCATAGAGAAAATATGAAAATATGAAAGGGGACAAAAAAAAAAAAAAAAAAACAGCTCGTAAAAATGGCCTCTAATAGTCATTTATTGTAGAACTTGCCATGGAGATCTTGAGTGTATCTTATGTTTTAAGTGGTAATAAACGGCATTTATGGGAAAACCAATGGGGGAGTGGACTGACGATATTGGAGACCATTTTTTTTTTACCAGCTCTGGATTCTATTACATTTTGTTAACGATTTTATTTTGCTTACAAAAAATACACACACACATATATATATATATATATATATTTATTTTTATTATTTTTAATGTGTGGGTTTAAACAATTTGGTTAGTGGTAAATCACAAAAGCACCAAATTCCAGCAATAAACTACACAGGAGCCAAGAAACTGCTTGATATAGTGACATGAGTTTAGATATACATTTATTTGCCAGTTTACACATTAATAAGTACTCTCTGTCTTTAGCTTACAGGGCAAAGGTCAGCCTCTAAGTGGGTAAAACAATTGTCTGGGGTGTTTTGTTTGTTTACTATGCAGAGACATCAATAATCCCTGCCTGTGTATAGGACCAGCCATGGTGCGAGTCACACACCAAGTATTTTCTGTTCTTGGCTAGTAAAATGATTGTCTCTATTTCAATAACCATATTCTTATTTGAATTTATTTAAAAAGGCCAAAAAAAAAAAAAAATTTATATATATATATATATATATATAATATATATATTCATTCTTATGGCTTGACTGGTGTGCAGATCTGTGTTTAACAATGTATTGACTACCCACTGACTTCAGGTGGAAGGGGTTTTCAATCAGTTTTTCCCCACCATAACTTTCTTGGTTTGTGCTCCGCAAGTAACGCCAAGCTTCAATAGCCAGCCATGTATTGAATATATATATCAGATGGTTATGGTTTATATAGACTGCAACCATAACCATCTGATACTATAACTACTACAATAAGCTGCATAATCAATGGTGGGTTCTGTAAGCTGGCAGGCAGATCGCTCTCTAAAATACTTTGTGTTGATTGGTCAGTGTTTTGGAGAAGGAAAAAAATAATTTTTTATATATATATATATATATATACACACACACACACACACACACACACACACACACATACACACATAAAATCTGCAACAAAATGTATAGTTACTACAAATGAAAATTGCAATAATAAAAATGATATATTACAATAATAAAATTGTCTAAATAGGAGTAATAAAATGGCTGCTTTAGACCTAGAATATAATTTACTTGTGAGTGTTTCAAGGAAGAAAAGTTATTTGTCTAAAGAACTCATGTATTTATAGTAGAATACGAAAATTGTGATCTGGCAATCTAACAGTCCAGGAGCTAAATTATACATTTTCTAAGGTCTCACAAACTTGGGCATTTTCTCAGTCAGAGCAACTTCTGCAATAACAAAACAAAAAAGGTTATAAATAGAAATAAACTGATATTCTCATTACAGGGCACTCTGTTTATTGCACCATGTGCAAAGGAAGAGGTGGTGTCTTTTTGGCACTACTCACTAGAAGCTTACAATCTTATTTTGGGAACTTTGAAGACAAAACAGGATTGCTCTCAACACATTGAACCCATCAAAACCAGATGGCAACTGAAACACAAAGAAACGATACACTATCCAAGTTCTTACATTACCGTTGGGTTGTTCTTTTTATTTATGTTTGTCTATGTACAATTCTGGTAAAACCAATGGCAGCCAGATCCCGAATGCAAATGATGTACGTGAAATGTTATGAATACCGCATATACCTCCTATTGACAACCTTTGTTCTTTCTTTGTATTCACAATGCGGCTTCTGCACAAGCCATATGACTGCATAATACAATTTTTTTCTGTCATTGAAAAGAAAAAAAAAAAACACACAGGATTGCTCTTCACAAACTAAAAAGTATCAGAAAGGATTAAAGACATTAGTGTAATTTGACCTAAAATGTGCTGCACTATTTCCACAGTAAAGATTTAGGTGGGAAATATATTTGTGTAACTCTGATCGCCAATATGAGATACTGCTATGTAGGACCCCTGTATACAGCTCACATTATTACATGGAACACTGGACTGTCATTCGAAACCCATCATAGCAGATTACTCCGTCCCTGTACAGCCAGAAGGCTGCTAAAAACAAACACACACTCTCATTCTGGACTATGGGTGTCTTTGTCCAGAAGCCCTGTTCAGCAGGGATTTCGAGGATACGTAGCTCATCCCCTAGCCTGAGTACCATTCATGCATTCTCTGCAAAGATAGAGAGGACAGGGTGTGCACAGTGAGAGCAAGCACAACAGAGACAAATTGTGTAGACAGAGAAGGGCAGTCTTTTTGCAAATTGTTGCGGTCATAAGCCACAGTTTGCAGTGACACAATAACAGGGGTCCTCTATTCACTATAATATATATATATATTTATATAATAAAACAATTATATATATATTCAATACATGGCTGGCTATTGAAGCTTGGCGTTACTTGCGGAGCACAAACCAAGAAAGTTATGGTGGGGAAAAACTGATTGAAAACCCCTTCCACCTTAAGTCAGTGGGTAGTCAATACATTGTTAAACACAGATCTGCACACCAGTCAAGCCATAAGAATGAATATATATATATATATATATATATATATATATATATATATATATATATATATATATATATATATATATATATATATATATATATATATTTTACATATTATTTGCAACATTCTGCATAGCCAGCTACAAAAGTAATTTGAAACTCTACGCCCAAAAAAGTAGAGGAAAAGGAGATGGAGATGTACTACATAGATTACAGTGTGTGGAACTGTCCCATTTCTAAAAGTTAGTCTAGCAATGCTAATGCTAGACAGAACTCTACGAACCGGCAACGAACTCTCAAAACATCGAGCGCAGTATGGCGTTAACCATTAAACCAGCAAAGCAGTTTTTATACAGTGCTACGTGGCTTTTCTAGCACACATACCGCCAACAATAACATTCTGGACATTTCCTTATAGTTCAAGCTATCATGGTGCTACGGATAACATCTGAAATAATGACAGTGTCAAATTGTTGCTTGTGCGTCAAGTGTGTTAAAAATGCTACCTAGTAAAAAAAAATTTTAAAAAAATGTTTACAAAAATTCCAGCTTCAACATGTGCCTGAGAGATCCAAGAAAAAGCACTCTAAAAAGTATACACCGAAGATACGATCAGTTTCTTAGTCTACAATAGGGAACAGAAATAAATCTTGCAAAAAGCAGCCCAGTAAACCAGAGGTCTTGCAGGGCCTTGAGATGGGTTGAATGTTCCAAACTATGAAGTCTGCCACCTAACCTTTGACACTCGATTTGCTTTCAAACATCTGCCTCGCCGTTCATTTAACTCAGAGTTGGGGAGCACAATAAGGAGGTACTACCACGTTGGGTACTATCCATCCACACACGGCCATTTCAAAACACATCAACAGCATGCTGCTCTACGATCATGAACTAGCAACTTGTGTGTGAGATGCAAGATACTCTGATTTCTTGCAAAGAAAGTGTTACTCTGACACACAGTAACAGAACAGATCCAAAAATAAAGCAAAGCTTCAACACCACTTCCCCAAGTTAACATTGCTTATTCAATCTCCTCCCCCCAGCTGTCTTTGTCAAGCTTATCGAGGACTGGCAGACATTTGCATTGAAAAACTGTTGCCCTGTCTGTTTAAAATGTGTCTCTGAACTCCTTTTTACCAGCAATTAATAAATGGATGAAGGTTCCAACATAATAAATTGTAAGATCCACAATCTTCAGGGTCTTCTGTATCTGACAGATAAAAAAAAAACCCACACACAACACTCAAAACAAAAAAATTATTAATCTTTTTTTTTTCTTTTTTAAAAGCATTTTATTTCTCGGCATGGTAAATCTCACACACCAAAACACTGAGGAGAATCTTTAGAAATGACATTTTGCAGTTGTAAAAACCAAGAGGGCAAAACGGTTTATTAGGTTTATCCATGTATAGAGGTTAACTTAGAATGAATGAAAGACTACCTACTCCTCTGATACGGAAATTAATAACATTCTGCAATATGCTTAGAAGCACAACATTGCACTGGAGCTTAAAATATAAAGCTTATATGTAATCATTTGAAAACTGTATTAAATATAAAAAAAATGCAAGGTTGTTACTATGAGTCACTTCAAGCACGCAGACAACATTCATGTATAAAGCTTAAAGTGGCTACAACAATTGTGTGCTTCATAAAAATAGATTCTGATTTAAAATAAATTAAAAAAAAAATTAAATTAAAAAAAAAAAAAACAGTTTCAAAGAATTCCAAGACTATCAAAAAGAGATTTCCATTCCATTATCAGTCACAACAGCTGATAGAACATGCATGAACGAGTGATGCACAACAGATGCTCATGGCACCTTATTATAACAAAATTAGCTATGAAGACCCCACTTGGATATTCCACAGATCCCGTTGGGCAGAGCCAAACAGCTCCAGGCAGGTGAAGCAGAGATGGAGAGAAATGGGGGAAGGAAGACATGTTTTGTTTGTTTGGGGTTTTTTTTTTTTTTGGTTTTTTTTAAGGGGGGGGGTGAGGATTTAAAATGTCCTTCCCCAAATTTTTAATGTTTATACAGGTTTACTAAAATTCTAGTTAAAAAAAAAAAAAAAAAGTAATTTAAAAAAAAGAAAAAGTGGTATATATAATTTTCTACTAATCTCTATATTTAGAATCGAGGCCTCAAACATGCCCCGAAGAGACACTTCACAGAATGGTGCCTATCCACAAAAAAATACACACAACTTGCCAAGTTCTTAAATCATTCATATCAGGGCTCAAAATTTCCACTCACCACTCGCAATTGGCTAGTGAAAATTTAGGCCAGTCGAATAGAAATTCACCCAGGAGGATATGATATAACGTGCAGTGGCGAGTAAGCTTTAAGTGCTGGTTGCACCATGTCCATTTTAAGTGTGGTCTGCTCACATATATGCGATCATACAGCCACGGTGGTAATCATGGAGGTGGTGTAAGCTACCGTAAGGCACACATGGATTTTAAATCCATACATTTTCTAGCAACTTCACCAGCACAATCAGTTTATTAGATGTACAACTAACAGTGGGCCATACAGTCACCCCCACTTTCTATCGCTAATAAACACCTATTTAAAAATACAAGAAGAGAGAGAATGAAAGGGGGGGGGGTGGGAATAAAATACATAATAAATTCTAGAAAACCAACTGGGACAAATATAAACTATCCCTAAAATCTCATACGTTACAAAACCGTGTACATTCACATGTCATCTGTCCTCTTGCCTATGGCATTTATCTGCCGTATATCATTTAGTTATGACTCTGCAAATTCCAAGTAACATCAAAACAAAATCTAGTTTTATTAAAGACAGGAGTTACTCAGATTTACAATTGCAGAGCAATGCGAATTGATAAGCAAAAAATACAACAGGCAGGATCACATTTTACAAATGTACTGTAACCAAACCGAGGCACAATTTATATTCCTTCCTCGAGCCCTGAGTTAAGGGCCAGTTCGTTGGCAGAGAGCTCTCCTGTAGCGGTGGTGGAAGCAGGGAGTGGTCAGAAGAAGTAAAAACCATCTTAACGATTTGAATTACTTACAAACAGTTGCTTCTTTACTAGAAGCAAGAGGTCTTACACACAGTATTAATATAAACACACAATGAATGGCATGCACTTTCAAGATACACATCATTTTATTATCTACATGGAAATCATTGATTTACATAAAGGGTGCCCAAACATTAGATCCTCCAGATGTTTAGAACGAAAATATCTGGGGATTTATGTTCTGAGCACCACAGCTTTAGATGGCAGAGAAGGGGACAGCAATGTTCTGCTACAGTCGCTGAACTAACAGCACTGGCAGATGGGCACCATCTATCCCTTTACAGTATCCCCCATGATTCTCTGGTCAATGAATTTCTATTGCAGCAGAATTCTTCCCATAAAAAGGAGTGAATATACCCTTTAGGTTTTTTAATTTTTGCAAATTTGAACCCATAAGCCATAAAAATCAACGTGGAGTCCCTGAATTAAAAATATATACTGGCTTTAGACATACCCTCTCTATTCCACCAATTAGAGAGAAGCTTCCATATATTTAAAACATGTACAAAACAGGCAGCCAATGAATGGAATGTAGCCGGTTGCAAGTAGACATGTATAATGGATGTGAAGAGCATTCTTGGACCAGTTAGGTAAGTGAAAACATTACAAGTATTTTGGAATCCTGCCAAGCCATATAAATACATTTTTTTTTTTTTTAAATTAAAAAAGAAGTTAAGATTTGTGTGTGTGTTTAAAGAGACAGGTAAGCCACAAAAGGCATATTTTCCTGTGCATAACAGTTTGATGGGAGTTTTGAGAGATACAGCATGCAGCACACAAGCTGTGCCCAATTTGATAAAACTAAACTCTGCATTTCACAGGCTACCATATTGTGATATTTATACAGGGTATCTGAATTCAGTTGTCATAACGGAAACTTAGGGAAGGAGTTAGCACATGTGCTCGTACACAGGAGCACAGAGTGACAGTCATGCACAGATATTTTTGGAGAACTGATAAGATTTAAAGGGAAACCGTAGGCACTGTATCTGCTTCATCTCAATAAACTGGTTATAGTGTCTGGAGTCCCCTGGTACCATAATTTCTTTCAGCATTAAACAGTTTTTAATGTTTTTATGTTTTAATGCTAAACAAGAGTCCCTGGCAGTCCATCCCATTTGTGCAGCTTTGGCTAATAAGGAAGTATTAGCCTAAGCAGCAATGGACAGCTGTGATTGGCGGAGAGTGTCAGGTGACTGCTTTCAGCCTGTCAGAGCTCCAACTGATGGTATGAATGGGTATGACAACAAGGAAGTGTGTAATCTCTGCCTCAGCTACACATACAGAAGGGGCTGGACTGTAGGTGGCCAGGGACTCTTATTTTGTGGCATACTGCATGAACATGGTGCAACACCGAGTGGAGGGACAGTGCCAGGGCACTCCAAGCACTATAACCAATTCAAAGAGATGAAATGGTTATAGTGACTACAGTGTCCCTTTAAAGAGTTATTATTATTGCCATTTATGTAGCGCCAACAGGTTCCGTACCGCTTTACAATATTATGAGAGGGGGAATTTATTTATAAATAGGACAATTACAAGAACGATAGGTTGAAGAGGGCCCTGCTCAAACGAGCTTACAGTCCATAGGAAGTGGGGTATAAAACACAATAGGACAGGAATTCACAATCAAATAAGGTGGGAGTGAAGCACTGCCCTTTAGGAGAGAGCAAGAGACCGGTGAGGTAGAAGTTACTCTGGGAGGCTTTAAGCTTTCCTAAAGAGATGGGTTTTAAGGCACTTCTTAAAAAAGATGCAAGACTAGGGGAGAGTCTGATGGCGGTAGGCAGGCTATTCCATAGGAAGGGAGCCGCCCGCGAGAAGTCCGGCAAACGTGAGTTGACTGTATGGGTACGAACAACGGACAGGAGAAGGTAACGGGCAGAGCAGAGAGACAGAGAAGGGACATACATATGGATCTGTGAAGAGATAACGGGCAGAGCAGAGAGACAGAGAAGGGACATACCTATGGATCTGTGAAGAGATAAGATGGGCTAGAGTTGTTCAGTGCTTTATAGGTGTGAATTAATACCTTGAATTGACTCCTATAGGATACAGGAAGCCAATGTAAGGACTGACAGAGGGGTGAGGTGTGAGAGGACTGACTAGAGAGGAAAATCAGTCTGGCGGCAGCATTCATTATAGACTGTAGCGGGGCAATATGGCTTTTGGGAAGACCAACTAGGAGAGGGTTACAAATATCCATGCAGGAAATTACTAGAGCATGGACAAGCTCCTTGGTAGCATCTTGCTTAAGAAAGGGGCGGATGCGGGCAATGTTTTTAAGGTTGAATCTACAGGATTTAGCAACATATCAGATGTGAGGCCAGAATCAAGTAGGACGCCAAGACAGCGTGCTTGCAAGGATGGACTTATTTGAATACCACTAACTTGAAGGGAGAGCGAAAGAGGAGGATCGGTATTAGGAGGAGGAAAAACAAGGAGCTCAGTTTTAGAGAGGACATCCAGTCAGAGATGGAAGAAAGACAAGCAGTGACGCTTTGCAGGACAGAGATATATCTAGGTGTCATCAGCGTACAGGTGGTAGTGGAATCCTAATGAGGTAATACGTTTGCCAAGAGAGGCAGTATAAAGAGAAAATAGAAGGGGACCAAGGACGGAGCCTTGGGGGACTCCAACCGAGACAGGACGAGGGGAGGAGGTTTCATTAGTAAAGGAGACACTGAATGAGCGTTGGGAGATATAGGAGGAAAACCACGAGAGGACAGAGTCACAGAGACCAAGTGATTGAAGAAGGAGAGCATGTTCAACAGTGTCAAAGGCAGCAGAGAGGTCAAGAAGAATTAGTATGGAGTAGTGGCCTTTGGATTTAGCTGCGATTAGGTCATTAGTAACTTTGATAAGCGCAGTCTCAGTAGATTGGAGAGGGTGGAATCCAGATTGAAGAGGGTCAAGGAAAAAAAGAGTTGGAATTGAGGAAGTGAGACACACAGGTTTAAAAAAAAAAAAAAAAAAAGGCTTCCCAGAAGCTTGGAGGAAAAAAAGGGAGTAGGGATATAGCACGATATTTAAAGGGAGAAGGACAGGTCAAGAGATGTTTTTGTTCAGGATAGGTACTACAGTGGCATGTTTAAGATCAGCAGAGACAATGCCAGAAGAGGGAGAGAGCATTTGAAGATGTACATTAAGGAAGGCACAAGACAAGTGGAGAGAGATCTGATAAGTCGAGATGGTACAGGATCAAGCGGGCAAGTGGTGGAGCGAGGGGAAAGGATAAGTGCAGCTACCTCTTGTTCAGTAGCCGGGGAGAAAGTCTGAAGGGTAGGAAAGGCATGATCTGTAGTTGAGAAAGAGAACGGCAAGGTGGGGAGCTCAATCTTGTCAGTAAAGTAACATGCAAAGCTATCGGCAGTAAGGTTAGTTTGTGTGGTGGCCACAGCAAGGCGAAAAAGAGAATTAAAAGGTGTCAAAGACGCCTGGGCTTGCGGGAACATGAACTAATAAGATAGGAAAAGTAGGACTGTTTGGCGAGAGCAAGGGCTGCTCTGTATGAACACAATATGAATCTATAATGGAGAAAGTCTGCCTGGGTGCAAGACTTCCTCCAGGAGCGTTTAGCACAACGGGAGTATTTTTGCAGGTAGCGTGTTGACTTAGTATGCCACGGTTGGGGAGGAGGTGTCCTCCTTGAGTTGCATGCTTGGAGCAGAGCTGCAGCATCCATTGCAGAGGTGAGAATAGTGTTATATGTGGAGATGGCCAATGAGGGACAGGATGGATGGCAGTTGTGAATCAATATCAGCTGACAGTCAATAGAATTAAGGTTTCTCCTGAGTTGAGGGGGGTTAAGCTGAGGTTGTTAGGTGAGGAGGTACTTGAGAGCAAACAATACGAGGTGGTGATCAGAGAGAGGAAATGGAGTGTTGCAGATATTAGATACTGTACATGCATAAGAGAAAATGAGGTTGAGGGTATTGCCAGCTACATGGGTGAGAGAATTAGCCCACTGCGATAGCCTGAGGGAGGAACTAATTGAAAGTAGTTTGGAGGCTGCTGAGGTCAAAAGGTGGGTTAATGGGAATATTGAAGTCCCCGAAAATTAGGGATAGAATATTAGAAGAGAGGAAATAGGGTAACCAGGCAGCAAAGTGGTCAAGGAAGAGAAGAGGGGAACCAGGAGGACAATAAACAGCAATGTTAGAGAAGGGTTTGAAAAGATGAATTGAATACAATTCAAATGATGGGAAAGAGAAGGAAAGGGGGGTGGGTAGAGGTTTGAAGGAGCAGTGAGGAGAAAGGAGAAACCCTACACCACCACCACCTTTACATTCAGAGTGTCTCAGGTTGAGCATAAATCGCCGCATGCCATAGTATTTCCATAATATAATATTTCATTCCCCTTTAGTTCAACATGCAATACATTTGATACAAATTCAGCAAAAACTATGTATGGACAAAATGTGTGTTGGCACCTACATTTTAAAAGGACAACAGTTTAACAAGGCCATAACGCAGACAAAGCACACTAAACATCGCACAGTAAAAATTAGAATACATTCTGCAACGAATAAAACTATTGTTCAAACAATAAATACAATATGCACACCTTTTCTCAATCCCGTTAGCAGCAGGGAGCAAGTGCCAACGAGAAATACCTCTCTAAAAACAGGTTGTGAGGATGGGTACATCAAACGAGATGCACTGTCAGAAATTCCATTAACAGAAACGCAGATGTAAAGACTAAATAAGCAGCAGCTACAAAGGTACAATAATAATATTATACTGCTTGGGTTCCATGTCTGGACAGAATGCCATATTGTAACAATATATTTACAAGCAAAAACCAAAGTGGCCAAGTTTAGCAAGTCTGAGTGTCCACATGTTTGAGCTACTTTCTGTTAAGACGATTATCCAATCATTATAAGACCATCCAGTCAAATTCATGCCACATATAAATATGCACATACAGGAGATTAAATTGAATGCGAAAAGAACCCTTTTTTAGGATTTCTGTACCAGGTTCTGCCTCTTCATTCACAGCAGCTAAGTAAATCTGATTTTGTGATTGTTTTGTCACTCATATTACTAATTAGGAAGACTGATTGTGTTATACTATGTAACCAATAAGCGATGGTCAGAGATTGAGGAAAAATGTGCCATTTTGTTTAAAATAAAAATCGACAGAAGATGCACATAAAAACACATTATCTTTGATAATAAAGATTAAAGAACTCTCCATAGTAAAAAATGTGTATTTCTACCTTTGAAGTTTTCCTTTGTGTGTAGATTTATACCATCAATGTTTTAATAAAAAACAAAAAACACTAATTTTTTTCACCACAACTCCACACCACCCCCTATTACGAAAGTTCCAATTCACGCAGTCTCACAAAGCATGAAAACTGCCATACTTCTCCAATCAAAATGCTTCACAGAGAAGCACTGAAAAACACTCACAAGGTTTCAAAGCGAGTGAAGCAGGAAATCCGTCCAGGTGTCTGATAGACAGCTAGGAGGGAGCAACCAATTACTTTTGTAAAATGTACCAATCCCTCTAAAAAAAATAATTTGTAGTTTTATATTATAGTTTTACCACAAAGGGGACAGCCAATTAACCCCTGACATACTACAGCAAGCTCTACTTCTTTAGGGCATGGAGTATTCCTTTAAGGTAAGACAGCTAAATATGTATGCTGGAAGGTGTCCAGCTTTTTTTGTTTTTAAACATAAAATAATAAGAACTCTGCAGGTAAAATTTGCATAATAATTTCCATCTCCAACAGAAAACAGGAAGTAAAAATTCTCATGTAATATGATGGTCCGTAGCATGAGGAGCACTTGCATTGAAACATTAGGAAACAATAGCATGTGCTCCGTAAGGTAACAGGGATCAGGTGTGTATTAGCAGGAGGTCACTCACACCTTCAGCCGTACTCATACGCTTGCACTGATTGGTTCCTTGTTTTGATGCAGTTAGTGAGCACCAACAGGAATAACAGCTTACCAAGTACAACCACTAGGATACTTTTTATCTTTTCCATAATTTTAATGCCTTATCTATATAATAATTCCATCTTTCAGTGTCCCTTTGCAGGATCTTAGAAAGTTGTTTAGCGATGCTCTGTGATCTGTGCAGTAATAGGGTTTTAGAGTATATTCTTTCTTAAGCACAAAAACAAGATTTGAAGAACAATCAGATCCTTCTCAACTGGAGTCAGACTAAATTTGTTTATTGCGAACAGAGCACCTTCAATGAACAAAAAACAGGTTTACCATTGTTTTACAAATACACTCTAATGATATCACTTGATGCAGCGTTTAGTTTGGAACAGCAACGGATATAGGTTTCATTAAATACAAAACAAAACACTTTTCAAGTCACAATTAATGCAGATGTAAATTTTTGGGATGGGAATTTTTTGTTTTAACATAACAAAGGATATACGATTCTATATCAAGTTGTCATTTGCCAGAGATGAACAGTCCTATAAAATGAAGCACAATGGAGCAATTAAATAACTCCACACCTAGGTGTACTGTGATCCTTACCTTTTAACAGAGGAAGAGGCGTTAACTCAATTGGCTTCCCCTGAGACCTGAATTGAGAAGAGCTTTGCGATCTCTTCTGCCTTGCTTTCCTGACGGACTTCCGAGAAAATCCGTCTACTTTATCCACTGATGGAGGAGTGGTTGGTGCTGAGGACATATCCCTACTGTGGAGAAAAGGAGAGAGAGAGAGAGAAAAAAAAAAATTATTGATTGTTTAACATGTGTAGGTATTACACATCTTGTACTCGAGATTAAGATCTCCAATTTCTTTTTAATATTTGCAAACCAGAGGGACTTTTCTGGCAGTAAAATGAATAAAACATTTGGCTTAGCCTCAAAAAAAAAAAAAAAGAGTTTAATTAAAAGGAGCCCTGGAAGGTTGAAAGACATCTTAAACAGAGTACCAAATTTGGCATTGCAACGAATAAAGCTTGTTTAATATAACAAAAAGTAGCAAGGTACAACACATTCATTTCTCACATTTTACGCTCTCAAAGAAGAGGAAACAAACATACAGTTTCTAACACTTGAAAGCGCAATATTGGTGACCTCCAAATAGAATTAAAATTAGGAGAACATGCACATTCAGCTGGGCCTTTCATTTCAAAGCAGTGGTTTTGATGACTATCTATAAATATGTAAACATAGAATAAGTATATCCAAGTAAGATGGCTATAGAAGAAAGAAGTTTAATAGCAGTCTTTAAAATGAACACTACACTTAACAAAATAGCATTTTATTAAAAAAAAATATAAAAATAGTACATAAAACTTGCATGTTTTCTACTAGGTATATGAAAACAGCATGCAACAGCTAGAGATCTAGTAATTGCAATTACCACAACCTCTTTTTTTTTTCATTTTTTTTTTTTAAAACGTCAGAGACTTTGAAAAAAAACTTGTGGGCCAGCTGGGCATCCAGTGTCAGGAGTGGAGATAACCTAAAGAAACCGTAAAGGGGCTACCGGTCCTTAGAGCGGCCCGGCTAACGCCCGAGACAGATAAATGAAGTGACTGCAAGCAGACAGAGAGTAAACGAGAGACAGGCAGAGGTCTAGGATAACAGAGATAAACAGAATAGATAGTCAGGCCAAGGTCGAGATAACAGAGAGCAAGAATGGTCAAACAAGTCGAACAAGAACCACGACAGGGCAAGAAAACAAGCACAACCAGGAAGTATATACACCCTATACTGGGTTGTGATTGGTTACACAGGGCTATGATGTCACAAGTGTCTACACATCATCAACAAGCACCGCAGACTGACATTATTAAAAAAAAAAAATAAAAAAAGTGTTCCATATCATATAGAATGTCATAATGAGGCACCAGGAAGCTAAGAATGAGTAGGTGTGCATCGGAACACAGAAGAGAAATCACTTCTGCGATCGCACAGTGCCACAAGGGGCAGGTATCGTGACAGCAGGCTGCTGTCCAACCACAGATTTCTCAATGAGCTATAGTACAACTCAACAACGAGACTTTGTTATAAAAGTACAGTTTTTTATTGAAATATGCACTTTTATATATTTTTAAAAAATAAACACGGGGCAAACAGCTGAAGTGCTTTGTGTGCTTGTGGTGATCCTTTGAAGATACGAATTAAAGCAGAATAATCCCCTTATATTTTTGCACAACCCAATAGCTTAAAGTTAGCTATAAGCCGCAATATTTAATGTACATGTTAGGTTTTAGTTAAATTCTACGTGAGGCCAGCATGGCATATATTGTAAATAACATGGATGTGCTGGCTGTATTCACAATATGGAGGAAAGAAAGCTGGAACTACAAAGTCATTTTATATTTTCTGATTTGTGGTAAGTTAATGGTTTTTTTTCTCATTTCCCTCCCTTCAGCCAGCCACTAGAGGTGCTTCATGGCTCTTTAACTCCGTGAAACAACATTGGACATTCTCACACTTTGAAGGAGAACGTCCAGCAACTCCAAATCCCCCATAGGAAAGTAGTCGTTTGCATAAGCATTAGGTCCCCCCTTTGGCCTGATGACACAGGAGACCTTGACCTGGAAACAGGTAAGTGAAAAAAAAAGGGGGGCGGGGGGGTTAATGGTTCAGGACAGCATGTGGTGGTGAAGGGGGCTAATAAGTTAGGGACAGGGCAAACTATTGTCTTAAGAATTCTTAAAGGAACACTGTAAGTGTTTTGTATTCTTAAAGGAACACTGTAAGTCGAACACAAACATATTCCTATATTGTTAAAACCACCTTCTAGCCCCTGACCTACCACCAAATATAGTAAATTCTTACCTCTATTCCAGTCTGCTGGTGCTGGCTCTGCCCCCTTGGCTGACATGATCAGAGGTGCTGATCTCAGTCAATCACAATGCTTTCCTATAGGAAAACATTAGGTGGGCCAAGACTGCCATGATTGTAGGTTGGGGGAGAGCCAGCACGGGCCAAACACAACCCTGGCCAATTAGCATCTCATCATAGAGATACATTGAATCAATGAGTAAAGTTCAGTGTCTCCATGTAGAGGGGTGGAGACACTGAATATCAGTCATACTGTGCAGCACTGCCCCATGAAGCACCTCTAGTAGCCATCTGCCTCTTCTCTGAAAAAACAGTGTTTACTGTAGTTCTGGTGACTGTAGTGTCTCTTTAAACACGCACTTCAGTTATCGTATTCTGGTTTTCTCTATACAAACCAGACATTTCAGCTCACAAGCCCAACACCCAGAAACCTGTAGTTCACGATGTTTTGCAAATCAGCCAGAGCTACATACCTAGTGATTTCAATGTTGATACAGCTTACAGAATGTGTTGCAAGTGAAGTTTCACAAGCTGGGTTTATGTGGTCACACCCCTTTATAAATGGCATGAGCACTGCATAGGCTAAAGCAGGGCTTGACACATTTGCTTTAAATCTAGGAGCCAGCTAAAAAAAAAAAAGAAAAATTAGTAGCCATTTTTTTTTTTTTTTTTTTAATTTACATTGCTTTAAATTCAACAACAAAAATACAATTCTTTAAGGGACACGATAGTCACCAGGACCACTACAGCTTAATGTAACGGTTCTGGTGTCTATAGCCTATCCCTGCAGGCTTTTCAATGTAAACACTGCCTTTTCAGAGAAAAGGCATTGTTTACATTGCTTCCTAGTGACACCTCTAGTGATTCACTCAGATGGTCACTAGAGGTGCTTCCTGTGTCAATGTGCAGCACCTACATTTAGCGTCTCCACCCTCTGCATGGTAGCGCTGAATGTTCCCCATAAAGATGCATTGATTCAATGCATCTCTATGATAAGATGCTGATTTTTGCAGCCAATTCTATGGGAAAACATTGGATTGGCTGAGATGATCAAGCTTGATGATCTCCGCCATAGAGGCAGGGCCAGTTGAGGGGAGACCAGCACGGCTTGAGGAAAAAAACAAAACAGTAAAAACACCATTTCTTCGTGAACGGAAGGGGTCTGGTAACCTAAACACACACACACACACACACACACACACCCCATGACAGTAAAACCCATACACTGACAAAGACTTACATATCCCCTTAAAAACCTGCAGCAGCACTAGCCCCACATGCCTTCTTCCATTTGCATACAAATCCTAGCTCTATTCCGGAAAATAAAAAACACGAATGGAGTTACTTAGCAAGTTAATTGTTGATATGCGAATGCTTATAGGTTTTTATATGTTTTTTTTTTTTTTTTAAAGGACACTAATCACTATGACAATTTCATATCAATGAACTGGTTTTATTGTCTGTAGTCCTCTGGTGAGGTTCTGCATTCAACGTTAACCCCATTTTGAGTAGTTTAACATTAACAATGGCCAACAACAGCCGGCCCCTACTGCAGGCAAAGAGAGATTACAAACTTTTTACTAGCCATACCAGCAATTGGCGCACTGATAGGCTGAAAATAAGTCAACTGATATTTTCAACCTGTCATAGTTGCGCAGAGTGATGCTCCTTCATTAAAAGGTTTCCTTCTTCGAATAATGCCCTACTTGTCATTATTCGTTATCCCCCAAAAACACAGAGAAAAAAAAACAAAAAACGCTTAAGTATTACTTATGTTAAATGCAGAGTTGAGCGGGAGCAGCGGGGATGTCCAAACAAAGGCTTTTCATAAACAAGCCTTTGATTGGACCTTCTAACCAGCTCAAGCAAAATGAGTACACTCTGAATTGGCAAAGAGAGAGGGGCGAGGGAGCATGTAGAAAAAAATAAAATAAAATAGCAAAGGGGATAAGAAGGGCTGCAGTTAAGGAAAAAGGAGAGACAAACGTCTCTTGCAGGCTCTGTATGCAAGGGGAAAAAAGCACTGACGTCAGTTGTAAAATGTGAACAAAATTGACATTTGGGAGTCCAGAACAGAGTTTGAGGCGACTAATGTCATATGTGCAAGTGGTGTAACTAGCCCCATAGCTCACAACTGCAAGCAGAAACATTGCACATCCAGAGTCCTACCACGCTGATCACAATGGTAGCAGAATTGACCATGGTGATTGGAGTAATCCTTTATTCCAAGCAGGATAGAATGTTGAACTACATGCCTTACAAACTTCTGAGCATTGAATTTGATCAACATTCCCTTTTCAGAGAAATGGTGTGAGTCTGTACAATATAGCAGGAGAAATATCAAACAATTTCTAGTCTTAAGAGGGCCCCTGCAAAAACTACAAATCCTGGAAATACACAGCAAGTACATTTTTTGCCCACCTAATTTTTAATTAATACAATGCATTAAGTTTATTTACATAATACAAATGGCAACTTTTATTACATGTCAAGACAGGCATATCGATTTTGTGCACACACTTTAATTTGCTACTTGACAAACCCAAATAAACCAATGTATAACGAGATAAATATTTTATAAAGCACAACTATAAAATGCAACAGTCTCTTTGCTCTGAAGTTTAGGTTTTAGCTATAAAAGGGAAATTACTTTTCTGTTGTACATTGTGGGCCAGTACATCACTGTCAAGAAAATCTACACAAAAATATCATTTTCTGTATGATAAATTACGCTTTCGTAACTCAACTAAAATCTGGGTGCAGAACAGCATAGCAAAGAACCCATAGGGTTAGATCTGTAATAACGTTCAATACCACAGTATATAGGTCAGGCACCCAAACATAATCAGTTAATTGGTAGATATGTCATTAACAGACCTAATGTTTTAATAAACTTTCACTTATTTTTACCTAGTATCTCCTGCAGGAAATATTTAGGGAGTGGATGTAACAGCGACTGGGAGGTCAGCTGCACACCTTAAAGACTTAGTACTCTATTTCACACATAAGGTACTGGTTATTCACTCATTCCTTGTTACTACCGCAGTAAACTCTTATAAACACCAAATGAATGCCAAAAATTGCACTTGCAATATTGCTTTAAGGAGTATGTTCTAACTTCCATACACACACTCTCTCTCTAAAACAAACCACAAAAAAAATAAAAAATTATATATTTATATTTTTATTAATGATACAGAGATAATATATAAAACATGCCAGATCAGACTGAACAAAAATGGGTTAAAGCGGAAAAAAAAAATACCTCTCTTGCTAGAAGTTACACAGTCTAATCATCATTTTCAGTGATAGGATCCAGTTACACAACATTCCATTCAATAAGAAAAAATAAAAAACACTCCACACACAGTACAAGGTCTAGCTCTCAAGAAACAGAGGCAGTCTCCCATTGCAGCACAGCAAACAGGAATAGTGTAGAATGAGAGGCTGGCACGTCACTCGTAACTGCAGGATCATTTGCATGTGACATGGAGGGCTGTGCATGCACTTCCTTACAGTATATTTAGAAAACACTTTCTTTCACCTAAACTGCTTTTCAATCAAGGCCCCAAGTCAATGTCTAAATGTCCTTTTAATATCAGCATGGCCAGTGATATGTCACAGTGGTTCACCCTACATATAATACCTAGATATTTTAATTCTACAACTTGCATTTATTTTTAATGAGGAAGTGAGTTTTTATACAGTAATACTTCACTTCCTTTTAGATAGAAAGTAAACAAATCAGAAAAAAAGAGACCACTACTGGTTTGCAGAATATATTGTGCATTACCATCATTACAAGGAATGCAGGAAACCAGGCCGGCTGAAGACAATCATTTGTTTAATTTATAAGTTGGCATTGCAAGCCAATATACATAAACAGTGACATAAAATGGTTTTATTTAAAATAATTAAAATAAAATAAAAATTTAAAAAAGGGAAAAATTATTCTGCATTTATTTGGCAATCGGTCAGCCTACTGATAATTTATGCAAAAATTAATAAAATCACCAAGCGTATGCACATTATCATAAATATGAACGCTCACAAAAACCACACATAGAATACATTAGTGTTGAGTATAAATAGTAATATAATTTCATGTTGTAGTATAGTGACAAAATACAATTTCTACAAAATGTGAGTTATAGAACGCACATACAAGGTATTACTTATACATGCAGGTATGAGCAATATGTGGAGTCTAGCTGTACACAGATGATTAACATGCCATCTTTTCAGTTGACAAGCAGGTGTGGGCATAGAGGACGGTAGTGGGGTAGTAAAATAGGCCTTTATAGATTGGGGCCTATAACCATACTTTCTTATCAGATCACAAACGGGGTGAATATTAATTTATTATGTAACATACACGTTTTGAAGGCACACATGTTTGATGTATGGCAATACTATAGAATTGATCATTGCATCCTTTATTTGCAATGCAAATGGAAACATGGATGATGGCAGAGAGTAGTGTGTTGCATACAGAGAAAACTCAACACTGAGAAATCCATGTAGGAGTGAGGGTTGGCATTTCAAAGAACATGATCAGTATGAGCTCTGTAAATACTGACTGATTATGGTAATCTCTGGGCTGAGTGCTGGTGAGGGCGATGTGATGCAAACAGGGTTTCTAAATTATCCACACATGCAAGAAGGGGTAAAGTCTGACATCCTATATGACATGGGCACTATAGAGGATGTGACAATTCATGTGGATCATTGCAGCCTGGAAAGTCATGAAACAGAGAGGTTACTGGGATGCACACAGAGTCACTGCACAATATTTTCGGAGTATGTGCAATATTATAGGTAGCATGCATGGCATTTGTTGCATGTCACATTACATGCAGCATAGTATATGACATGTAGCACAGCATGTCACATTACATGCAACATAACATGTCATATAAGCGTGTCACACGGGGCACGCAGCGTGTCACACGGGGCACGCAGCGTGTCACATTAAGCATGTAGCGTGTCACACTGGGCACGTAGCGTGTCACATTAAGCATAAAGCGTGTCATAGTAGGCATGCAGCGTGTCACACTGGGCACGTAGCGTGTCACATTAAGCATGTAGCGTGTCATACTGGGCACGTAGCGTGTCACACCGGGCACGTAGCGTGTCACACCGGGCATGTAGCGTGTCATAGTAGACATGTAGCGTGTCACACCGGGCACGTAGCGTGTCATAGTAGGCACGTAGCGTGTCACATTAAGCATGTAGCGTGTCACATTAAGCATGTAGCGTGTCACACCGGGCATGTAGCGTGTCATAGTAGACATGTAGCGTGTCATAGTAGACATGTAGCGTGTCATAGTAGACATGTAGCGTGTCATAGTAGGCACGTAGCGTGTCAAAGTAGGCACGTAGCGTGTCACACCGGGCACGTAGCGCGTCACACCGGGCACGTAGCGCGTCACACCGGGCACGTAGCGTGTCACACCGGGCACGTAGCGTGTCACACCGGGCACGTAGCGTGTCACACCGGGCACGTAGCGTGTCATAGTAGGCATGTAGCGTGTCACATTAAGCATGTAGCGTGTCACACCGGGCACGTAGCGTGTCACATTAAGCATGTAGCGTGTCATAGTAGGCATGTAGCGTGTCACATTAAGCATGTAGCGTGTCACACTGAGCACGTAGCGTGTCACACTGGGCACGTAGCGTGTCACATTAAGCATGTAGCGTGTCACACCGGGCATGTAGCGTGTCACATTAAGCATGTAGCGTGTCATAGTAGGCATGTAGCGTGTCACATTAAGCATGTAGCGTGTCACACTGAGCATGTAGCGTGTCACACTGGGCATGTAGCGTGTCACAGTAGGCACGTAGCGTGTCACATTAAGCATGTAGCGTGTCACACTGAGCATGTAGCGTGTCACATTAAGCATGTAGCGTGTCACATTAAGCATGTAGCGTGTCACACTGAGCATGTAGCGTGTCACATTAAGCATGTAGCGTGTCACACTGGGCATGTAGCCCAGCCCTGCCTGTAACATGGATGATGTGAATGCTCAGTGCAGGGGTGGGAGGGATGGAGGGATATCCCCCAGACTGCCTCCCCCCCCCCCCTGTCAGGACTGTGATTCCCAGGATGCTTTGCCAGCTGTGCCGGTGGCAGGGCATGCCGGGAGTTGTAGTTCCCTCGCTGTGGGGGCAGGGCGGTTACCTTGGAGCTCCTGACTGGGATCAGAGAGGCGGCCGGGGGTTCCTGGTGACGGGCTGCGGTCTCGGGCTGGGCCTGCTTCCTGCGAGCTGGGTAATCCGCGCGGATCGCTGGCAGAGCCTCACACTGGGACTCCCATTCCCTGAGAGCCGGGAGCCGGGGCTGGGCTGGCTGAGGGTGGCCGGGCTGGCTGAGGCTGTGGCTGGCTGAGGGTGTCGGGGCCGGCCCTTCGTGTCAGTTTCCTCTCTATTGTCAATATCACTGGGCTGAGTCCATGGCACACACAGAACACAGAGCGCAACCTAGCCCGACTGCGCCTGCACACGCGCTCCCATTGGCTGGCGCAGGCGGAGGTTCAAAGGGAAGGAGCGCTGTGATTGGTCCGCCGCCGGGTTGCCTGTGGAGCGGAGAGCGAGCGGGGAAGGAGGCGGGGCCGGGAGAGCAGCTGGTTAGGGTGAGAGCGCAGAGAGGAGGGCGCTGGGATTGGAGACTGCGGGAAGGACCCGGATGGAGGGGGGATGGGCGGGCACTGAGGGGGACACACAGAGCCTTATAGAGGGG